TGCTGTCTCTCTGTCTCTGTCTGCCTGGCGAGCACACCCGCCCTATAGCAAAAAAACCTCTCAAAAAAAAAAAAAAGCATCCCCAAGAGCACCCACAGATTCCATGACTCCCTGGGAGAACTCCAGGACTTGGCATACAGTCGTTTCATTCCTGTGACTTCTTACAACAAAAGGGCACGGGCCAAGGTCAGCAAGAGGGAAAGGGGCTCACGAGGCAAAGTCCAGAGGAAGAAGCATGAGCTTCTGAGAGTCTTCTCTCACCCGGGAGGCACTTCATCCCCCAGCAGTGCACAGCAGCGTCTGTGACAGCTCTAAGGAGAAGCTCCTTAGAGGCTCCATGCCCAGCGGTTTTAACTGGGGCCACCCTCTGCCTGGCATGTGCTAACATTCCAGACTGCCCAGAGACATGCAGGTGGCCACCACATACTGTGTTGTTTCACAGACAGTTTGGCACAATGAGTCATTCTTATCAGAGAATAAGAAATACAGAATCAGTAAATCCTCCCCAAATCAAAGTTTCCAGATGCCAGCCTAGGACCGATGCTATAAGCAGGACTTTGAAGGACAGCAGTCTCAGGTATACTGTGTTAATTCTTTTCTGCACATAAGTTGACCCCAATATTAAGTAGCCCCTCAACTTCCCAGTGAGAATTTTTTTTAAAAGTATTTAGTTCAGTTTCAAGGCAGAAACGCTTAAGAGATTTATAATACCTAAAATTCTTTAATTGCATACATATTTTTAATCATGTAAAACTAATACCGATTAAATATTCCTAATCCAAAAATCTGAAATCTGAAATGCTCCAAAATCCAAGACATTTTGAGCACTGATACAGCGTAGAAAATTCCCACCAAACTACATGTGACAGGTCACAGTCATGAAAGATTGTGTAAAATTTCCTATAAGGACTGCATATAAGGTGGAAGGAGTATAGGACACATTAATAAATTTCATGCTTAGATTGAATCCCATTATGTCATATATGCAAATATCCTAAAATACCCCAAAAAAGAAAAATCCAGTATCTGAAACACTTCTTGTCCCAATTATTTTGAATGAAAGAAACTGATTCTGTATTCGTTTGATTAAAACTGTTTTCCCCTACTCTCACATTTCACGAGAATTTTGTGTGTGTGTTTTATGTCCGTCTTCAGTGTCATTGTGTAGTTACAGCTAGAGCACTCACGAAGATTGCGTTGCCTCCCCTCTGTACCAACCGTATTGACATACAGCATTTTTGGAATCTGTGTCTAGAAATTTCCATTTGTCTCTGGAAATTTGCTCCCACTCACCAATACCCAACTACTAAAATACTAGGAGGGGCCAGCAGGTAGCATGGTGGTTAAAGGTGCTAGACTCCCACATGGCCAACTGCAGTTCAAGTCCTGGACCTGGTGGCTTGCTTTCTCACTTTCCCTCTCTGTCTCTCTCTGATCAAATTGGAAAATAATAATAATAAATAAAGTTAAATAAAATAATCCTTTTAAAAATACCACTAGGATAGTTGTCTCTTTAATTTATCCCGTAAATACATATTTATAATTTCCACAATGTACTTATTGGTTTTTGTATTTTAAAAAAATTTTATTTATTTTTTGCATGAGACAAAGAGTGACAGGCACCCCGAAGAAGGCCTTCATGCTGCATGCCATCCCCAGCCTCAGTCGGCCAAATCAGAGGCAGGTGCATGTGTGCACAGCGGGTTCAGGGAGATCCCAGTACATTTCCCAGGTGGATCCAGTCATGCCACCACCTGGCCCCCATCTTCTCTTTCAAAAGATAATTTACTTTGGACCAACAGGTGTCATAGCAGTTGGGACGCTGGACTCCATATGGCTGACCACGGTTTGAATCCTGGACTTGGCAGCTTGCTTTCTCACTCTCTCTCTCTCTCTCTGTCTCTTTGGTGAGTGTATGTATCAGATTAAAAAATAATAATAATAAAATAATGATTTTAAAAATTAAATAATTTTTAAAAAGAATTTATATGTGAAATTTTGGGTAAATTAATCTATAATAGAAATAAAATAAACTTTTTTTAAAGAATTATTTTTATTGAACTTTATTTTGTTTTATTTATTTTAATTTGACCAGAGAGCAATAGAGTGAAAGAGAGAAAGAGGGAAAGTGAGAAAGCAAGTTGCCATGTCTGGGACTCAAACCATGGTTGACCATGTGGGAGTCCAGTGCCCTTAACCACCATGCCACCTGCTGGCCCCAAAATGAACTTTTTAAAAAGATTTATTTGGTGGGACCAGCAGACAGTGTAATGGTTACAGTGCTAGACTCCCACATAGCAAGCCACGGTTCCAGTACCAGCCCTAGTGGCTCTAAACACACTGAGCACATGTGTAAGCATGCCAAAAATCCCGAGGGAAGAATTGAGGAGAAGGGATTGTGACATGACCATCCTCCTGGGAGGTGTGACTTCTTGCTTTCCATCTCTCTGTCTCTCCAGCAAGCGCATGTGCTCTTTAGCAAAAATCTCTCAAAAAAAGAGAAAAAACAGAATTATTTATTTGATCTTTTTATTATTATTATTTGAAATTTGCTATAGGGCACATGTGCTCACCAGAGAGAGAGAGAGAGACAGAGAGACAGAAAGTGAGAAAGCAAGCCACCAGGTCTGGGACTTGAACTGCAGTCGACCATGTGGAAGTCCAGCACCTTAACTGCCACGCCACCTCCTAGCCCCTCAAGGAGACTTTTTTTTTTTTTAAGAGAAATTCTTGCTATAGGGCTCATGTGCTTGACAGAGAGACAGAAAGCGAGAAGTCACCTCCTGGGGGGAAAGGAATGGCCATGCCACAGTCCCTTCTCCTACATTCTCCTCTTGGGATCTTGGGCACACATGTACATGCATCCGGTGTGAGTTTTAAGTCACCAGGTCCTGGACTCAAACCACAGTTTACTATGTGGGAGTCCAAGAACATAATCACTACGCCATCTGCTGGTCCCTCAAATAGACTCTTGAAGCATTCTTATAGCACGTTTTTATTTTAAGTGTATTACTTTTACTGAGTACTGCTACTACATTATCACCATCTCTTAAAATACTGAGTAAGGTTAATTGACATCTATGGAGCGCATGGGCTAGAAACCCGTCTTCAGAATACTGAGCTGCCTCGTGTCTTCTAGATCTTTGTTGTTCTGATCCTGCTTTCTGCTGGACTTGCCATCGGCCATGCCTACTGGGAAGCACAAGTAGGCAATTACTCCTGGTACCTCTATGATGGAGAAGACGCCACGCCCTCCTACCGCGGATTCCTAAATTTCTGGGGCTACATCATTGTGCTTAACACCATGGTGCCCATCTCCCTCTATGTCAGGTAAGGCTGTCTTCTCTTTGGCCTTCTGCTTTAGTGGCTGAATATAGTATCTTTCCTCCACTTAGCACTTTCATTTCAGCTGTAATTATTTCAAAGGTCATAGGAACAAGTAAGAACATAACTTTTTTTATTTCCAAACGGAGGGTCATAAAGGGAAAGGAAATTAGCATTTGAGTATCTACTCTGTGCCAGGTACGTCTCTCTCCTCCTCTCTGCAGATAAGGTTACTGAAGTTCAGAGAGCAAACGTGTCTCCTGTGGTCATTGCCTTCTCAGTAGGCTCCAAGTCCAGGCTTCACAAAGAACCTGGGAGTAGTGAGAATTTAGAATGTCACGGGAAACCTTAATCTTCCAGAGCCTTCCCACCCTCTTTTTGTTTGTTTGTTTTTGATGTTTTTGTTGAAGGGTGGGTGCACTCACCTGAGAGAAACATAGAGAGACAGAAAGTGAGAAATCACCCCCCCAAGGGGATGGCCATGCCACAATCCTTTCTTCTCTAGGGGTTTTGGGCACACGCACATGTTCCTGGTGTGAGTTTTAAGGGGTTTTGGGCACACACGCACATGTTCCTGGTGTGAGTTTTAAACCACCAAGTCCAGGACTGGAACTATGGTCAACTATGGGGGAGTCCAGCAACATAACCATTACGCCATCTGCTGGTCCCCCTTCCTACCCTCTTATCTGAGGCATCCTTGTTGCCATCTGCCATAACTTTAGTTCCTGAAACTCACTGGGGTTCCTGGGCAGGACTGCCTGGTGGGAAGGATATTCCAAGCTTTCCTGGGCCTCTCAAACTATGCTGTTTCTTATCTCAGTTTCAATCACCACAAAGGTCAAGGTCCTGTCTCTGTTTGGTGACAGTTCTTCCTTTTTTGCTTTTTCCTGAAGGTCAAGGTCCTGTCTCTGGTGACAGTTCTTCCTTTTTTGCTTTTTCCTAATGTCAAAATTCACTATCCTCGCTCAGTAGGATTTAGACCTTTATTGGGGGAGGAACTGTGTATTGGAATACACTTGGCAGTCGGAGTCTGTTCTTAGTTCAAATAAAGAGCAGCCCAGAGGCTTATGGGATCACATACACACCTGTAATTAGATACATTTATTTTATTTTAATTTTATTATGTGTGCACTTGTTTTATTTTTAATTTTATTACACGTAGTTGCTGTTCTTTTTATAGGAAATAAAGCCCCAGGGCAGCCATCTGTTTATGTATTTTATGAGAAAGGCAGGCTGAGAGATATCTTTTCTGAACAGGGTCCTCACACTGCAGTGGACCCCAGGCTTCGCCAGCCTGGCGCACAGGTGTGTGCATGCACCTGGCATGCTCAGGGAGGTCCTAGAGCTCAAATCCAGGACCTCACCCACGTGTGTCCAGCTATTACTGCTGCACCACTGCCTGTCCCCTCCACAGCTAATTTTTGAAAAAATTGAGATGTTACATTTGTTAAGAAAATTATTTATTACACAGATGGCTATCCATGCATTTTATAAACTAAGTTATATATATGTTATTTGAGGTTAAAAAAGTTATGTGACCAGTACAATTTTTTTATTTCTCTTAAAACTAAAGATACTTTCATTTTCTTTTGAGTTTTATTTATTCTATGAGTGAGAGAGACAAAGAGAGAGAGAGGAAGAGACAAAAGCTGTCACGTTTTGATTCCATGGTCCACCTCTGGTTCAGCCAGCTCTAGATCATAAGCACATGCATACCTGCCGTGTTCAGGGGAGTGTCCAGGTGCGAACCTGGAACCTTCCCATGTGGGTGAGCCTTGCAGAATGTCTTGCTCTACTGATGTGCTTCTGTCTGGCCCCATAATGGCCTCTTTTTTTTTTTTTTTTTAAAGAAGGAGCTTTTTTTATGGAACACGCGACACCCCGAGAGAGACAGAAAGAAAGAAATTACTCTCCAAGAGGGATGGCCATACCACAGTCCCTCCTCCTCCATTCTCCTTTCGGGATCTTGGGTATATACACACATGCCAGTGTGAGTTTTAAGCCACTGGGTCTGGGACTCAAACTGCAGTCGACCACGTGGGAGTCCAGCGACATAACCACTACACCATTTGCTGCTCCCCATAATGGTCCTTTTTAAATGTAAGTTGTATCAAGTCATTCCAGATAATGTGTCTGCTTTGTCTTCTACCCTATGGTAGCTTGTCACCTCACTCAGAAACAACTCATCAAGGCCTTGTTATTGCCCACAATACCCAGCATGTTCTAGGGCTCAGCACTCTTACCTTGGACCACACTTCTGCTCCACTACCCACCTCTCTGAGCCCCCACCACGGAACTCCTCCTGCCACAGGGCCTTTGTACCTACCCTTATCTCTGCCTGGAACATTCTTCCCTAGATATCTACATGCTGCTCTTTCATTTCCTACAGGTCCTTGCTCAGCTATCACCTTATCACCTTGGTCTTTCCTGACCCACCCTGTCTTAACCGTGGCTTCTCTTCCCTGTCGGTCTCCGTCTCCCTTCCCCTGCTTTGATTTTACGCAGAGAATGTTCACTGCCAGATACAGTATACATTACGGATCTTTGTATTTGTTCCCACTAGAAAGTAAACTCATATGAGCAGGGATTTTATCTGTTTCGTTTATCCATGTGTCCCCAGCACCTAGACTGGACACCTAGTGGGCATTCAGGAAGTAGTTATGGAAGGGAAGAAGGGAAAGAATTACTTTTCCCTCTGTTTAATTTGTATGAAGACATTTTGTCCACTTAACAATTGCTAGATTTGTAAACAGTTTCCTTATAACTGAAATACATTTAATTCCTGATAGTTTTAAAATTGAGATGATCCTTTTGGAAAATCTTATTTTGGATATTCTTTTTTTTTGGAAGGTTTTTGCTGTAGGGCGTGTGCGCTTGCCAGACACACAGAGAGAGACAGAGAGATAGAAAGCGAGAAATCACCCCCCAGGGGGGATGGTCATGCCGCAATCCCTTCTCCTCCATTCTCCCCTTGGGATCTTGGGTACACACACACATGCGCCCGGCGTGAGTTTTAAGCCATCAGGTCTGGGACATGAACCGCGGTTGACTACATGGGAGTCCAGGGACATAGCCATTATGCTAACTGCTGGTCCCTTATTTTGGATATTCTATAATTATATACGAGTTTAGAAAAAATACGTGCTTTTTCACAATGTGGGACCACTATTTATGAGTCATTTGCCAAAAACCTTTTGCCCTTTTTGAGAGCACCAGGGGACTATAACCTGATAACCTTGTCCCCTTTGCCCTACAGCTGGGGGCAAAGGTGAACACGACCATCCTAGTTGTCTCTGGGTGCAAGGGGGAAAGAGAAAAGAGTAAGAATGGCTTGATTTCATGGCTCTGTCTGCAGTGTGCCTGTCATCCGTTCCCCACTCGTCTCCGTGTTCTGAACATGAGGCTCTATGACCGGGGCTGGATGTGCTCGGGAGTGCGTGGGAGATGACAGTGAGCAAGGCAGTTAGAGGGAAACTGCTAATCTAAAATCATCAGCTGGAGAATGAGTGTGTGTGAGGAGAACCCAGAGGCTGAGCACATGGGCCACAGCATAGTTTTTCTTCTTGGAGACATCTTATTCTGTTCAGACTGCTTGATATAACAAAATACTGTAGGCTGGTGACATGGAAACAACATAAATATTGCTTACAGTTCTGAAGGCTGGGAAGTCCAGTGTTAAAGTGCCAGCAGATTTGGTGTCTGACCATGGCCCACTCTACTTTATAGATGGTGCCTTCTGCTGCATCCTTTCATGGTAAAACAGGCAAAATAAACTCTTTGGTTCTTTCTTTTTTAAAGAGAAAAATTGCTAGAGGATAGAGGTGCTTGCCAGAAAAGAGAGAGGGAGAGAGAGAGGAGATGGAGAAAGCACCTCTCCTCCCACCATGGGGCAAGGCCATGCTGCAATCCCTTCTCCTCTCTGGGGCCTCTTTTATCAGAGCACTCTTCCCATTCACTTAATTCCCTCTTGAAGACCCCCATCCATACAGGTTTCAACATGTGAGTTTGGGGAGGATTCTAATAATCAGATCATCACATCAGATAATCAGCTCGCCCCTGTATGCACATGTGAGAATAAAATCTACTACCTGCCACTGGTGGAAAGTGCCCCATGGAGAGTAATCTTTTGTCTTTCTAGTGTGGAGGTGATTCGTCTCGGACAGAGCCATTTCATCAACTGGGACCTGCAGATGTACTATTCTGAGAAGGACACACCAGCAAAGGCCAGGACCACCACACTGAATGAGCAACTGGGGCAGATCCACTACATCTTCTCAGATAAGACAGGGACGCTCACACAGAATATCATGACCTTCAAGAAGTGCTGCATCAATGGGCAGATATATGGTGAGCGAAGGCTGACGTCATTTTCTGGTGCTGGGGGCTGACTCCTGTGCGCAGGCGCTGTTGAGACCAGAGGCTGCTTTTGCAGAGTTGCTAATGCCCTCCCTTGTGGGGTCTTGCTGCTGGTGCTTGTCCCTCACTGGTTAAAGGAGCATTGTGGGTGGTGTTGAGAACACATGCATGCGAGGCCAGTAGTCGGAGATAGACACACATTCCTCCAAACATTACAAAACTCATTGTGGAATGTGCCAGCAATTGCACTTCAGGGGATAAACCCAAAAGAACTGAAAACAGGAGCTCGGAGAGAGACACTCACGTTCATCATAGCATGGTTCACAGTAGCCAGAAGGTGTGCCCATGGTGGATAAAGGGATAAACAAAATGTGGGCTATACGTATGCAGCATGGAACATTGTGTACCCTCTCTCTGTTTCTGTTTTTATATTTAGTTTCTGCTATAGGGCGTGTACACTCACCAGAGAGAGAAAGTGAGAAAGCATCCCCAAGGGGGAATAACCACACCACAGTCCCTTCCTCTCCAGTCTCCTCTTGGGATTTTGCATGTGCGTGCATGCACCCAGCATGATTTTCAAGCCAATGGATCCAGAATTCTAACCACACCGTGGGCCATAGTCTAGTGTCTTAACCTCCATGCCACCTACTGGCCCCTGTACACTCTCTTAAAAAGAGGGATATTCTAACACATGCTGCAATGTGGATGAGCCTGGAGGTTGTTACACTAAGTGAAATAAACGAATCACAAAATGATTCATAGTGTATTACGCCACATGTGAGTACTTAGGGCAGCCAAATTCAGAGAGGCAAGGTAGAATAGTGGCTACCAGAGACTGGGGTAGAGAGGAATGGGAAATTATTGTTTACCAGGTACGCAGTTTTGATTTTGCAAATAAAAATCGTTCTGGAGAAAGATGGTGGTGGTAATTACATGACAATGTGAATGTACTTAATGCCATGGAACTGCATTCTTAAAGTGGTTAAGATGGGGACCAGCAGATGGAGTAATGATTGTGTTGCTGGACTCTTACATGGTCAACTGTGGTTCGAGTTCCTGACCCAGCAGCTTAAGACTCACTCTGGGTATGTGTGTGCATGCCCAAAATCCTGAGGGGAGAACAGAGGACAAGGGATTGTGGAATGGCCATCCCTCCTAGGGTGTGATTTCTCACTTTCTGTATCTCTGATGAGTGCATGCACCCTATAGTAAAAATCACTCAAAAAATATATAGTTAAAATAGTAAATTTTATGTTATGTGTACTTCATCACAAATTTTTTAAAAGTGGATTTCCATTCTAATTTTTTGAAACATTTTGTATATTTGTAAACAATATTAAGGCCAATATTGTATTCAGATAGAGTATTCTTAATTTTTAAATAAAGACTTAATGCAATTTTTAAAAAAGATATAGAGATGCGCAAAGACTTTCCATGTGTAGAGAACTATACTGTGAACACGTTCTCACTCAGTGAGGAAGATGGAACACTGCAGGTTAAGGAAGAGGTTTCACATGTGTGATGGCAGTCCCTTCTGAGTTGGGGGACAGTGGGAAGCATTTCAAACATGATTTAGGTCCCAAAGATGATTGTAAAATAGAGAAACAGACATCAGTACATGGGGGTCTTCAAAAAATTCCTGGGAAATTAATATTATAAAAAACTCTGCATGATTTCCCAAAATTTTTTGCCAAAGTATTTTTTACTGGGGCCATTAGGTGGTGTGGTGGTTAGAGCACTAGATTCTCACATGGCCAACCATGGTTCAAGTCCTAGACCCAGTGGCTGAAAATCATGCTGAGCACTTGTGCGTATATGCCCAAAATCCTTAGAGGAGAAGGGATTGTGGCATGGCCATACCCCCTGGGGTTGTTTTTTTCACTCTTCCTCTCTTTCTGTCTCTCACATGCACACAACCTATGGCAAAAGCAAAACAAACAAAATGTTTTTTCTAAAGAATTATTTTATTTCATTTACTATCATTAATATTTGTTTTAATTTGAACAGAGAGAGACACAGAGGGGGAAAATAGGAAAGCATGCCTCCAGGTCCAAAACTTGAACCATGGTGGACCATGTGGGAGTCAAGTACCTTAACTACCAATCCACCTGCCAGCCCCCAAACAAACAAAATTTTACTAAAATAAAGTAAACTTGTACTTTAATTCTATTTTCCATGAACTTTTTGTAGTTCCCTCATGTTAGAATATATAGAATAAGGGCTCAGCAAACTTTCTGTGAAAAGCCAGATAGCGAATATTTTCGCTTTTGAAGGCCATATATGGCCTTATAATATATTAGTTTTAAATATTTGGAGACCAGCAGGTAGCCTGTGGTTAAGACGCTGGATTCCCACATAGCCAGCTTCATGGTATAAATTCTAGACACTACAACTTAAAAAAATCACAACCAAAAAATAAATATTGAAAAATATATATGTGTTTTTTTCTTATTGCTATAGAGTATGTGTGCTCACCAGAAAGGAAGAGGGAGAAACCCCCCCACACCATGGGGCGTGGTCTTGCCACAATTTCATCTCCATTTTTCCATCCTATTGGGACTTGGGCGTATACTCATATGTACCTGGTTGGGTTTTAAGCTATTAGGGCCAGCCAGCTACAGTCAGCCATGTGGGATGTGACTCACTTACATTATGCTATGGAGCTTACTGGGAATATTCTTTATTTTTCTTCGTGTGTGTTTTGATTTGTTCATTTTTTTACAACTCTTGAAAAATGTAAAAACAATTCTTAACTCTAGGACCATCCAAAAACTTACATGAGACCAAATAAGCAAAGCCAGGTAAGGTGGGTCCTCTGGGCACAGGTGGAGACTCAGTTTGTTTTCCTCTGTTTGTTTTTCAGGAGATCATCGAGATGCTTCTCAACATAGTCATAGAAAAATAGACGTAAGTCCTGTAAGTTAAGGGCTCCTTTGGGACGTGTCTTCTTTTCCTGGCCTGAAATGTGTGTATCATGAGCTGGGTAGCTTAAACAACAGAAATGTATTCTCGTAGTTCTGGAGGCTGGAAGTTCTCAGTCAAGAAGTTAGCATGCTGTGCTCCCTTCGAAAGTTCTAGGGGAGGATCCTTCTCACCTCTTCCTTCTGGTGGTTGCCCACACCCATGTGTTCCTTGGCTTGTAGATTTGTAGGCATGGTGCTTTGATCTCTACTTCTGTTATTACATGATGCTCGCCCTGTGTGGCTCTGTGTTCACATGTCCAGCTTCCTATAAGGACACCAGTCATTGGAGCTGGGGCCCTCCCTACCCAATATGACCTCATCTTATTTTCATTACATTTATAAAGACCCTACTTCCAAATAAGGCCACATTCTTAGGCCCCAGAAGTTAGGATTATAGCATATCTTTTTTTTTTTTTGGGGGGGGGCACAATTTAACCCATCATGGAGTTCCTTTTTTTATAAGAAAAATATGAGCTTCTCTTAAATTTGGCTTATGTCAAAAATGTGCTAAGATCCTAAGGTGATTTTTACATAATTAAAAACTTGCTTCAAAGAAAAATCAATTGTCACGCTACAATTGTTTTTGTTTTATTTATGTTTTTATTTTTAAATCATGTTTTCTTTTCCTTCTCCTTTTCTTTCAGGAAGTTGATTTTAGCTGGAATGAGTTTGCTGATGGGAAGCTTGCATTTTATGACCATTATCTTATTGAACAAATCCAGTCAGGGAAGGAGCCTGAAGTCCGACAGTTCTTCTTCTTACTTGCAGTTTGCCACACGGTCATGGTGGATAGATCCGATGGTGAGTGTTGGGGTCTCAGGCATTGGAGTCCACATTTCAACTTCCAGGTAGCTCATCCTATGACTCAAATGCATATGAAGTGGGAGGCATCTCAAGTCACATTCCCTCAACCTATGAGTCTTTATTATTATTTTTTTGAGAGATTTTTGCTATAGGGCACATGTGCAAGACACAGAGACCAAGAGATAGAAAGTGAGAAATCACCCCCCCGGGGGATGGGCACGTTATAATCCCTTCTCTTGGGATTTTGGGTATGCATGCACATGTGCCTGGTGTGAATTTTAAGCTGTGTGGTCCAGGACTCGAATCACAGTCAACTACGTAGGAGTCCAGTGATATAACCATTATGCCATCTGCTGGTCTCTCAAGCAGTGAGTCTTTGTGTGTAGCTACACTGGATGCTCTGTGGACAGCAGCTTGTGAAATTAGCTTCTCCTCTCTGAAAAAAATGTCTTATTTACAGATATAGCTCTGCATGAATTTACTACTTTTTTAAAATTATTTTATTTAACTTTATTATTTAATTTGACTAGAGAGGGACAGAGCAAACAAGCAAGGGAGAGAGAGAGAGAGAGAGAGAGAGGGAAAGAAAGAAAGAAAGCTGCCAGGTCCGGGACTTGAACCATAGTCAGCCATGTGGGAGTCTAGCGCCCTTAACCACCACACCATCTGTTGGCCCTGGGTTTACTACTTTTAAAATGAAATTTATTTATTTTGCTAGCGGGCGTCTGTGCTTGCCAGTGAGAGGCAAAGAGAAGAGGTTAAATCACCTCTCACGGGAAATGGTCACCCTGCAATTTCTTCTTCTTCATCTCCCTCCTTTCAAGATTTTAGGCATGCACACACATGTGCCTGGCATATTTTATAAGCCACTGAGTCAGGAACTTTAACTGTGCTCAGCCCTGTGGGATCTGACTGGCTTAACTACCAGGTCACTGCACCAGCCTTGTAAATGACATTTTATAGGTAAATGAAATAGTTGGCTTGGGATGGCTCCATGGCCTAGTGTTAAGGGAACCAGATTCTATATAGCTGATCAGATTCAAATCCTGGTCCAGTGGCTGGAAAACCATACCAGAGATGTACACACCCTCTAACAATTAAAAAAAGAGAAATGGTTGGCTCTTCAATTATGATAGTAGAATCCAAATATATTAAGAGTTAATTTTATTTATCATCATCATTATTAGTACTATTATTTTAGTTTTTATGCTATAGGGCACGTATGCTCACCAGAGAGAGACAGAGAGAAGATAAGTGAGAAAGCAAGCTGCCAGGGCCGTGACTTGAACTGTGGTCAGCCATGTGGGAGGCCAGCATTCCAACCACCATGCTCCCAGAAGAATCAAAATCTTACCATCTTATTACTTTACATTGAGAGTGAAAAATCAAACTTTATGCGTATCTTAAGCAGACTTTAAATGTTTTATCCAAAATAATTCCACAGAAATGCTTTCATTTACTAGATCGACACATGTCTTAGGTCTGAGGTAGTATCAGCCACGGCTGGCCCTCTATAAGTACCTTTTTCATTTAAAGGGCCATAATTAATGTGCATTTGCTCAGGAACCAACAAGGCTGATTTTGAGATTCCTTTGCAGAATTCTCACGTGCGTTTTGTGCTGGCTCTGTTACAGCACGTTCATCCCAGGCTGCTGAGACCTTCACTCTATCACAGATGGACATGATGGATTAGGCGCACGTGGCCAGTAGACAAAGAGCAGAAGAGTTCTTTGGATATGTCTGAAATAACTCACAGTCTGCCTTCACTTTATCCACTTTACTCCATTCCTTGCCAATTTTTTTTTTCATTTCCCTCTCTCTCTTTTTCTTTTTTTAATTGCTAGAATGAGTGTGCTCACCAGAGAAAGAGACACAAAGAGTAAACTCATCCTCCATGATGGGGTGCAGTCACTGACTACAGTTCTTCTTCCTCTGCTCTCCATCCTGCCAGGATCCTGGGCACGCATGCACCTAAACTTGAACCTTGGTCAGCCATGTGGGACCTGGCTTCCAGGGCATAGCCCTTCAATGGCTGTGCCACAGGGCCGTCCCCCCATTCTCCACTTTTTACTTCAACAGTGCAGCAAACGAAAGTTTCTTCCTGTTTCCAACCATGATATTTTACGTTTAGCAGATATAAAATCTCCAGAGAAGGAATATGGCTAACAACTAAATGCATAGAAGCTGTTTGTCAGGAGGTTTATGCAAACAAACAAACAAAACAAAACAAAAAACCACTCAGGAGGTTTAAGCAAACAAACAGACAAAACGAAACAAAAAAGCCACTCTCCAAGGATATATCTAATAGTGCAATAAAGTGAGATAGAGTTCGAACTGGGGCTGGTACGTTGCAGGAACTGTTCATAGGCGAAGTGGGTAAGGATAGAAAGAGAAGATACCATGTTATGAATTGTGGAAGCAGAGGTCAAAGTCTGCTTGACTAGCCAAGCAGATGGTACTTGTCAGTAAGGATTAAGTATGCTATTTAGCACAGCATTGCTAAGCATTATTTCAACTCATCAGTAAAATCATTCTGTTTTTGTCTGAGTATATGTTGGTATTTTGAGAACTTTCAGGCCACCTTACCATGTGGTTGGACAGATGTTTTTCCTGGGAATACTAGTAGAAGAGCCCTGGGACCAGCAATTAGCATAATGGCTATGTTGCTGGACTCCCATGTAGTTGACCACGGTTCGAGTCTCAGACCTGGTGGCTTAAATTCACACCGGGTGCGTGTGCGTACCTGCCCAAGATCCTGAGAGGAGAATGGAAAAGGGTTTGTGGTGTGGCCATTCCCCCCTGGGAGGTGATTTCTCTCCTTCTGTCTCTCTCTCTGTCTTTCTGGCAAGCGCATACACCCTATAGAACACACCCAAAAAAAAAAAAAAAAGCCCTGGACTGTAAACTGGAAGTGAACCACCTTAATTGGTTTCTGTCTGAGCATGTGCTTCCTCCATGCTGCAATAGGAAGGGTGGATATTCGAGGCCTTTTCTCATCTTACACTCTGCCACTCTGTCCCACTGGCAGCTCAAGCAAAGAGGCATAGACGCTGGGGCATCTTTCTTCACCCAGTATATGATAGGCAATTGCTCTAGCCATCATGATAGAGACTAGGGGCGCTGCTATCGGGTTGATAGAAAAGCCATGCTCTATATTTTTCTTTGCTTTTTATTTTTTTAAAGGGACTTTGCTATAGGGCATGCATGCTCACTAGAGAGACCAAAGGCAAGAAATCCCCCGGGGGATGGCCATACTGCAATCCCTTCTCCTCCATTCTCCTCTCAGGACTTTGGGAATGCACACACATACACCTGGTGTGAGTTTAAGCTGCCGGGTCCAGTACTCAAACCTTTGTCAGCTACATAGGAGTCCAGCAACATAATCATTATGCCACCTACTGGTCCCATGACATGTTTTTCCTATGCAAAATTGCAGCATGACTTTTCTGACAACTCGGTGTGGAAAGGAGGTCAGAGAAGGTATTGGTTTTGCCTTTAATCCATAAAGTACCTTGAAAAGATCACTTGGAAGGGACTTTGGGGGCCACGTCTCCTAGTGTTATAGACCCAAAAAAGTGTGAGGGACCTGCCTTGGGTCACCCTGCAGATTCAGACTCGCTCCAGTCCAGGCTACCATGTTCCTGCCCCTTTGCTCTTATGGTCTCATTGTCTTTAAGGATGGTGGAGACTGGCTAGTCTTCCATTCTGCATGACATCAGTGGGTGAGGAGAAATCTTTTCACACATGTTGCCATTACCATCATCTTCCATAGGCAATGTGTGGCCTGAGTGTTGAGTACACGTAGCAGCTGAGTTTGGAGAGTCTACTTTCCTTTTCTGTTACTCTGTAATGAATTAGTGGAACTAAGCAGCTTAAAACACCCACTTATTGGGGCCAGCAGGTGGTATGGTGGTTAAAATGCTGGACTCCCACATAGCCAACTATAGTTCAAGTCCCAGACATGGCAGCGTGAAAATCATGCCAGCCCCTGTGTGTGCATGCCCAAGATCCTGAGAGGACAATGTGGACATCTCCCTTGGGGGGTGATTTCTCACTTTCCTTCTCTAGCTCTTCCTCTGTCTCTCTCTGGTGAGCGCACATGCCTTCTGACAAAAAAACTAAAAAAAAAGAAAAAAAATTGGGTCAACAGGCAGATTCAGACTCACTCCAGTCCTGTCCAAAATAGGGGCATGGTGGTTAAGGTACTGGATTCCCCCATGGTCGACCATGGTTCAAGTCCTGGACCCAGTGGTTGGACACTCATGCCAGGCATGCATGTGTGCATGCCCAGGAGAAAAATGGAAAAGGGATTGAATCATGTTCATCTCCCATAGCGGGGAGTCTCTCTCTCTCTCTCTCTCTCTCTCTCTCTCTCAAGCTAGTGCATGTAGCCTATGGCAAAAACCTTAAAAACAAACACACTTACTAGCATACAGGTTTGTAGGTCTAAAGTCTGACATGGCATGATGGCATTCTCTGCTGAGCATCTCATTAAAATCAGGCTGGTGTCCTCTTCAAAGCTCATGTGATTGCAGCAGGATTCAGTTTTCTGCACGTGGAAAGCTGAAGTCTCCATGTCTTTGCTGGCTGTCAGTTGAGGTTGCACTCTGCCCCTAGAAGCCACCCTCATTTCTTGCCAGTTGGATCCCTCCATTTTCAAAGCCAGCAGCATAGACTCTTCCTTAAATTAAACTCCTTTTAATGTTCAAAATCTTTCTCTTCAAGGCTTATGTTATTAGGCCAGGAGCAACTAGATAATCTCCCTCTCTCAAAATCACCTGATTAGGATCCTAATTACATCTGCAAAATTCTTTCGCAGCAACATACCTAGATTAGTGTTTGACTGTACACCGTTGGGACAGGAGTCTTGGGGCCATCTGAGACACCTGCCTCCCACAAAAGCCACGTGAGAGCTGGGTGAAGGCTTGGAAGCTTTTGTATCCCCTGGAGGGTCAGAGAGCTTGCTTAAGGATTGCAGTGGGTCTGATAGCCTGGAGAAGGCACAGGTGGTCTGGATTAGGGGTCTTCTTTGGGAAGATGAAGAAGTCATAACTGTGGGAAATGTTCTTTTGCCAAATGACTTGAAGAGAATGAGAGGATGGAGGGGAAACTTGATTTCTGAAAGGTAGCTAATTTCAGGACTGGTGACTGGAAGATCCCCGGTGATATTATCAGCCATAGAAGCTAGAAAATGTGGATGAGAGGTGGGATTTTTGGTTTGAGTGCCTTTTTGTTTGTATGAATTTCATGACCCATGAGTTAGTCTAGAAAAAAAAGGGGAGGGGAACCAGCAGGCAGCATAGTGGTTACTGTGCTGGACTCCCACATGGCTGACCGTGGTTTGAGTCCTGGACCCAGTGGTTTGAAACACACTGGGTGTGTGTGTGCATGCAAGCCCCAAATCCCAAGAGGATAATAGAGAGGGGATTGTGGCTTGGCCAGCCTCCCTGAGGGGTGATTTCTCACTTTCTCTCTGTCTCTCTGGTGAGCACACGTGCCCTTATAGCAAAAATCTCTCTTAAAAAAAAAAAAAAAAAAAAAAAAAGGTGATCTTTCTGGTTGCATCTAAGCATGAAGAAAACAAAGAGTTTTCTTCAGAGGATTGTTTTGCGATCCAAGTTTCTTCCTGAGAACATAAAGTTAGAGTTTAGAACAGGTCTCTGAAGTTCTTACCATCTGTGTTAGTTGTAATTCTGTAATTCCATTATCAAAACATGATGGCAGGATTTTCTTTTTCCTTTAGTAATGAAAGCATCACATTATTTACTCTGGTTATGATTATGTAGCTGATGAAAAATTTATCATTCTTTTTATTAATTTTTTTCTTTTTTCTAAATTCTTTTTTAATTATTATTTTACTTATTATTTTAATTTGCTCTAGAGCATGTGCACTCACCAGAGTGACAAAGAGACAGAAAAAGAGTGAGAAAGCAAGCCGCCAGGTCCAGGATTTAAACCATGGTTGGCCATGAGGGAGTCCAGTGTCTCATTCACCACGCTATCTACTGGCTCCTCTTTTTCTTAATGCCAGAGTACATAGAGAAAGAGCGATAGAACAGCCCTGTCAGGGCTGGTCGTGCTGCAGTCCTTTTCCTTCAGCCCTTCAGGATCCTGGGCACATGTATATACCCAGCATGTTTTTCAAGCCACCAAGACCAGGGCTCAGACCCTTGTCCACCAGGTGTGATCCAGCTTCCTTCTGGGCAGCACTTAGCCACAGCACTATGGGGTTAGCCCTCTGATTTTCTTTCTTGTTTCTATTGAAAGTAAGTTTGACATTAATATTATGCAGTCTATCATTGCTCCAGCTAAAATGACTGAAGAGGGGACTTTGTTCTTCCCACTGCGTATTTAGCTATGGTTAAATAGTTTGTCCTCTGGCATTTGTGTGTGTTTGTAGAGTGTCTGCATTTAGCAAGTACGTTTATAACTTCAGGTCTGTGACTTTCTGGGTGAATGCATAGAGAAAGAACTTGAAGTGTCATGTGTAAGTACTAATTGGAAGTGATTGATCCTGACTTAATTACAGTGAATCATCTGAGCTGGTACGTGAAGGAACGGAAGGATGAGGTGCTAAGCTTAACCTATAACCCTTCATCCTGGAGCTTTTATCTTCTAAGTAGATGAAGGTTTAAAAAGTTTTCCACCTGTCCATGGCCTGTATCCTGGTCTAACCATGGTGGAAAATTAGATGCTCTTTTCAGTACAAAAATATCTAACCATGGAAATACATTTTTTTTTCTGTTTCAAGGCAGAAAATAATAGAAACAGAGAAAAAGAGAAAATCTTGGATAGGCAGAGTATTCTTTTAAAACTTTTTATTAAGTACAATGTGTGTACAGAGACTTGTATTTTATCATAAGACAGTTCAATGAATTTTCACAAAATAAATATACCCTTGCAATGAGCACCTAGATTTTAAAAATGAAAACAAAGAAACTATCGATCACCAGATGCCTTTTTTGTGTCCCCTTTCAGTCATTATCCCTCTAAGAAACTACTCTCCTGACTGAATACCAGGAATTGGCTTCATCAGGTTTTGTTTGTCTAGTAGAATCAGGAGAGGACATACTCTTTTGTGCCTGGCTGCTCTGAGAGAGAGAGAGGGATTGTGAGATTGTGAGATTTGTCCTTGTGTTGAAGTGTACTAGGTGGGTAAAAAGGCAGTTTTCTATAGCTTAACTTCCTTTCCTTTTCTTTCTTTCTTTCTCTTTCTTTCTTTCTTTCTTTCTTTCTTTCTTTCTTTCTTTCTTTCTTTCTTTCTTAAGGATTTGTTTTTCTCATAGGGCATGTGTACTCACGAGAGAGAGAGAGAGGGAGGGAGGAAGTGAGAAGTCACCCTTTAGGAAGATGGCCACAGTGCAATCCCTTCTCCATTTTCCTCTCAGGATTTTGGGCACACATGCACACACATGTACCTAGCATGTTTTTAGGCTGCCCTCTGGGACTCAAACTGTAGAGCCAGCCATGTGGCGTCCAGCTGCCTCAATCACCATGTCACCTGCTGATCTATCTAGTCTCTATTTTACTTAACTTTTAACTGTCGAGATATTGATTGGGATGAGTTTTGTTGTTCTTAAGGATAGATATGATGAAGTAAGCACACTTCTCTTAAGGGAAGATAAACTGGTACAACCCTTTTAAAAAACAAATTAGTAATTTTATGTATACCAATGGGCTTCAAAATCACCAGAGTCCTCTAGCTCAATAGTTTCAGTACTAGGAATCTATCTTTATAAAAGAGAAACAGAAGAACCTTTGCACGTACACACATGTACAAATAGAAGATTATTATGATGTTGGGATTTTTGTCGTTGTTGTTTTAAATGAAAGAAAAAGTGAGAGAGGGAAAGGGAGAAACAGATAGGTATCTTTACCAGTTATAGTCACAGTCTTCTTGCCCCAGCCTCCCAGTTATCTAGGTTGGGAGGTTCACACAACTAACTGCACCTGGCATGTTCAAATTGGCCTGGGAACTGAACCTGGGCTCCCATGCAGCTTCCAGACTTCCAGGCAGGGGCATTACCTGTGTACCGCTGCAACTGGGCTACAATGTTATTTCTGAGAACAAAAACTTTTGGAAATAAATCAAGTGACTATACTGGGGAAACGATAGCATGTTTATGTTCATTAAAATAATGTTTATGTGCACCTGGCTGGAGGGCTGTGGGAAGGGGATCAAAATACAACCAGACTTTAGCATGAGTGGTTCATTCACTCTCTTTCTGAATATTCTCTTTATGAATAAAGTAATAGTTATAATGTTTATAAAGAATTTTAAAAGGTATGGCAGCATACTTGGGGCCAGCAGGTGGTGTGGTGGTTAAGGGCATTGGACTCCCACATGGCCAACGATGGTTTGAGTCCTGGACCTGGCATCTTGCTTTCTCACTTTCCTTCTCTCTCTCTTTCTCTCTGTCCCTCTCTGGTCAAATTAAAATAAATAAAGTTAAATAAAATAATTCTTAAAAAATAAAGATATGGCATCTTACTCAATAATCAGGATATAACTGTATAGTCAGCCTGATAGAAACTATTTCAGAAACAGGAATTTTATAAAAGGAAGGGAGGAACCATAAAATGTCAATAGTGTTTTTCCTCTGGATGTTGAGATTATGAATTTTTTCCCTGTTTTTTTTTTTTTTTTTTTTTTACTTCTAATTAATATTATTGTCTATAAATCAAAAATTTTTTAAGTTCACGTAAAAGGTTTTGATTTTGGCGAAATCTTTGTTGGGGGTGCTTTGGGCTCTGTGGTACATCCTTACCTCACAGGAACCTCAGAGAAGAACTCAAGGATCAGCTATGTGTTTGGTTTGACAGCTTATCTGGGATTTTACGCCTGTTTTCCTTGGTAGGTCATATCAACTACCAGGCCGCCTCTCCTGATGAAGGTGCCCTAGTCAATGCTGCCAGGAACTTTGGCTTTGCCTTCCTCGCCAGGACGCAGAACACAATCACCATCAGTGAGCTGGGCACTGAACGGACCTACGACGTCCTTGCCCTTTTAGACTTCAACAGTGACCGGAAGCGAATGTCTGTCATTGGTAGGTCTCCTCCCGGAGTATGTCTGCGTATCACTCATTTAGGTACTGCCTCTCGCCCATTTTAATTGCCCGATGCCAGGAGTTTTTGCCCATTGTTTTACTTCTAATTTACTTAATATTATTGTCTATAAATCAAAAATTTTTTAAGTTCACATAAAAGGTTTTGATTTTGGCAAAATCTTTATTGGGGGTGCTTTGGGCTCTGTGGTACATCCTTACCTCACAGGAACCTCAGAGAAGAACTCAAGGATCAGCTATGTGTTTGGTTTGACAGCTTATCTGGGATTTTACGCCTGTTTTCCTTGGTAGGTCATATCAACTACCAGGCCGCCTCTCCTGATGAAGGTGCCCTAGTCAATGCTGCCAGGAACTTTGGCTTTGCCTTCCTCGCCAGGACGCAGAACACAATCACCATCAGTGAGCTGGGCACTGAACGGACCTACGACGTCCTTGCCCTTTTAGACTTCAACAGTGACCGGAAGCGAATGTCTGTCATTGGTAGGTCTCCTCCCGGAGTATGTCTGCGTATCACTCATTTAGGTACTGCCTCTCGCCCATTTTAATTGCCCGATGCCAGGAGAAAGCAGGTGCTGAATAGAGATTTCCTGCAGACTGAAACCAGTATTTTTATCTTCTTTATTGTGTCCACTACTCAAACACAGCCACAGTCTATATGAGTCTTGCAAATGCTGTTAACATGCTTGAACCATATGGGCTGCCAATGGTAGGTGGCAGATGTGACATGCCCTAAGTGCCAGGTAGACAGCTTAGAGTACCACCCATGCCATATTTAAAAAAAAAAAAAAAGTTTTTTTAAGTTCCTCTGAGCTCTTTACTCCTACAGTGGATGTCAAGGAAGAGAGGACTCAGAGGAGAAGATCTGAGAAAGGCAGTGCTGTGCTTACGAATCAAAATTGTACCTCCAGTCCAGGCCCATAACAAGTGAAGATGATAATTGCTTGCTTGCTTTTTTGTTTGCTGTTTGATTTTTGCTATTTGTTTTAATATTGCCAGTGAGAGACAGCGAGGGAGAGGGAGAAAGCACCTTCCAATGGGGATATGGTCATGCTGCAGCTCCTTCTTCTGCATTTTTCCATCCTATAGGAATTTAGGGATATACATGCATATGCCCAGCATGTTTTTCAAGCCTCTGGGGCTGAGATTTGAACCACTGTTGGCCGTGTTATGTCTAGCTTCCTTAACCAGTAAGCGTTGGGGCCACCCCAGGTGGCTTTCTAAAAGTTAATTTTTTGGAATAATTTCAAACTTATAGAAAATTGGCAAGGCTTGTTTAAAAGAAGTCTTGTGTACTCTTCCATATCCACCAACTGTTAACATGTGTCCCATTTTCTTTGTCAATTTCAGTATATGTACATGTATCATTTTCTGAGCTATTTGTGAGTTAATTGTAGACCTAATGCCTCTTTCCCCTAAATCCTTTAGTAGACATTTCCTAAGAACAAGAACATCCACTTATATATTTAATTGTAGACCTATTGTCTCTTTCCCCTAAATCCTTTAGTAGACGTTTCCTAAGAACAAGAACATCCACTTATATATACAGTGCAGTAATCAGAATCGGAAAGTTTAACATGATACAGTATTATTCTCTAATCTACAGACTTTTCCAAAGATTGTCAGGAAAGTGTTTTTTTTCCTTCTTTTGTCCTTAAGACGTAAATGTTTTTCTGGACCAGGATCCAATCCAAGATCATGCATTGCATTAGGTGACCACGACTTTGAATCAAGAACAGTTCTTCGGCCTTTTTTTGACCTTTCATATACTGACATTTTTTAAAAGTACAGACCAGTTATCTGCAAAATATCTGTGATGTGGGTGTGTCTGATATTCCCTCTGATTCGATTCATGCTAAACGTTGTGGGCAGGGTGAATGCATAAGCAGTGCCATGCCCTTCTCCATGTGCCCCATCATTGTGCCGGTTTGTTTCATGATTGAGGATCTTAACTTGGATCATATGATTATGGTGAAGTCCACAAGCCTTCTCTACTGTGTTATTGAATTTTTAACTGTCTGCTGCCCTCACACTAGGCATATTTTGTGTGCCTAACACACATCTACACAACTTATCACACTGGACATCTACTTTGAAAAACTTAAAATCTAATTAGCAATGAGGCACACACTATGACTATAATAAATTGCACAGACCAAAAACTGCAAAAAATGGCCGCAGAGACTGGTGCTTTGGTCTGAGCATTAAAGACAGTAAATGTTGTGAGCTTCCTCAGAGGCAAAGACTCCTGTTGGTTGGCATGGCCATAGGAAAGTCTATGGAATTAAGTAACTAATTAAGTAACTAATTAAGCTCAGGGCATGACACTTAGTAGGGAGTCAGCAAATATGAATAAGGAGATGGGAAAGAGGTGACTCTAAGGAATCTTTCATGTTTATTTTACAATTACATTCAACCTAGATAGTGACTCCCTTCTTCGTTGAGAACACGTTTCTAGTTGCATTGATGATTTTAAGTTAATGTGAATTACGAGCAGAGTAACAGTTTAGGTTAGCTTTATAAATGTAGTTTTCTATTAGAAAATCAGACTTAACTCTCTGTGCCTTTCCTTCCTTTCTCCAGTAAGAACCCCTGAAGGCAGTATCAGGCTTTATTGTAAAGGTGCAGACACTGTGATTTACGAACGGTTACACCGCATGAATCCTACAAAGCAAGAGACGCAGGATGCCCTGGACGTAAGCATCACTTATACTCTTTCTGCTTCAGATTCTGATCTCACTTTCTGGTGCTGTCTCCCATACACAAGTGAAAGCTGTAAGTTAACTGTTGACCTCCCCTTGCTTTGGAGTAGGTGAGTGGGAAAAGGATCAACGTAGGAATATAATCAACTGGGTTCCAGTGCGCCTCCTGTCACTGAGTCCTCGGAAATGACCAGGGTGCACCTTCCCAGCATCCAGATCTGCAGGATTACAGTAGTAACATTAGGGAATGGCTTGTCTCTCTGTCCAGTGAGCTTGAGCAAATTACACCACTCTACTATGCTATAGTCCTACTATCTGTGTGGCCCCAAGAACACCACCAATTTAGGGCTAGTGGATCTCATAGAGGTTAAGGCTCTGGATCCCACATGGCTATGTGCACAGTTTGAATCCTGAACTGGGAAGCTTGAAAAACACGCTGGGTGTGTGTGCGCCCAAAATTCCAAGAGGAGAATGGAGTTGAAAGAATTGTGGTGTGGTCATCCCTCTCAAGGGGTGAGAAAATCACCCTCTTTCTCTATCTTTCTGTCTTCCTCTAGTGAGCACACCTGACCTACAGTAAAAAATTTTAAAGAAAAGGAAAAAGAACTCCACTAACTAGGTACAGAGTGAGGGAAGGAGAGTATTGGTATATGATAGGATGACAAAGTCATGTATTGGATCATTTTTTTTTTTTGAGAGTTTTTTTTTTTTTGCTATAGGGCGCGTGCGCTCGCCAGACAGACAGAGACAAAGAGATAGAAAGCGAGAAATCACCCCCCAGAGGGGATGGTCACACCGCAATCCCTTCTCCTCCATTCTCCTCTCGGGATCTTGGGCACGCATGCACACACGCCCGGCGTGAGTTTTAAGCCACCGGGTCCGGGAAGCGAACCGCGGTCGACTACGTGGGAGTCCAGCGACATAGCCATTACGCTAACTGCTGGTTCCTTGTATTGGATCATTTTTGAGTTCTGATACCTTTGTTAGGAAAACAGTTTGCTCTTAATTACCTCAAAGTCCTTAGCTTAGGGAGCCGAATACTTGTTTAGTGATGTTGCAGCTACTCAGAATGTTTCCGGAATTTCCACTTTTTGAATTATCAGCAAATCCTCGTATTGCTTTGATTCTGTGTAACAAAGGCAGTGAGATATGAAGATAAGTCAGATCCTGAGGTCCCTGTTCTGCCTCTTCACTTAAAAGGTGGTTGAGGACTGGCAGGTAGCGTGGTGGTTAAGGACTCCCACATGGCTGACCGTGGTTTAAGTCTCGGACCTGACAGCTTGCCTTCTCACTTTCTCTCTCTCTCTCTTTTGCTCTGTTCTTCTCTGGTCAGATTAAAATAAATAAATGAATAAATAAAGTTAAGTAAAATAATTCTTTGAAAAAAAAAAGGGGGGGGACCAGCAGTTGGCGTAATGGCTATGCTCGCGGGCTCCCACATAGTCGACCGCGGTTTGAGTCCCGGACCCGGTGGCTTAAACTCACGCCAGGCACGTGTGCGTACATGCCCAAGATCCCGAGAGGAGAATGGAGGAGAAGGGATTGCGGCGTGGCCATCCACCCTGGGGGGTGATTTCTCGCTTTCTATCTCTCTGTCTCTCTTTGTCTATCTGGCGAGCACACGCGCCCTATAACCAAAACCTCTCCAAAAAAAAGGAAAAAAATAAAAAAGAAGGTTGATACAAACCATTCATCCTCCCTGTGAAAGAGAGAAGGGATAATTCCTACCATGAAGGGCTGTTGCAAGAGAGAGAAAGCGTCTGGTGTAGTTCCCAGCTTGGGTACATCATAAAAAGTGTTTTCTTCCCTTTATTTTAGGATAGGATGAGTTTTAGAATTAAACAAAGGGCCTTCATAGAAAAGCCTGATCAATATGTTGTTTACTAAATGGGGGGTCATATTTTAAGATTATATACTGGAGCCAGCAAGTGGCGTGGTGGTTTAAGATGCTGGACTCCCACATGGCCGACTGCAGTTCACGTCCCAGACCTGGCAGCTTGCTTTCTCACTCTTCCTCTCTGTGTCTCTCTCTCTGGTGAGCACACATACCCAATAGCAAATTAAAAATAATACTAATGGGAACCAGCAGTTAGCGTAATGGCTATGTCGCTGGACTCCCACGTAGTTGACCGCAGTTCGTGTCCCGGACCCGGTGGCTTAAAACTCATGCCGGGCGCGTGTGCGTGCGTGCCCAAGATCCCGAGAGGAGAATGGAGGAGAAGGGATTGCGGCGTGACCATCCCCCCTGGGGGGTGATTTCTCGCTTTCTGTCTCTATGTCTCTCTCTGTCTGTCTGGCGAGCGCACGCGCCCTACAGTGAAAATCTCTCCAAAAAAAAAAATAATAATAATTAAAAAAATAATACTAATAATAAATACAATTAAATAAATAATTTTAAAAAACAGATTATGTACTGACCCTAATGCAGTTAAGATGGACAAGTTCTCTTGAGGATGTGAGTAATGACAATCTAATCAAATAGATGCAGAAAGAACCTTCCAGAGAATCTTTGAAAGCAAACCCTGGTTGAACCAGTTCTGTTGTCTTGGCTAGACAAGATGTGACTGAGGTAATGAAAGATTTATATGGCCTCATTTAGAAGCTGTTTCAAATGACTTCAATCTGTTCACCACAAGAAAATGTCTAGATACTCTTTTTTTATTAACATGTTTGATTAACTTCAGCAGTGCCTCCTCATGTGTTCAGATTGGTTTGAGGGAGTACAGCTTGGTTGAGTTCCTCATTGATAGGACTCAAAACACATTTGTGGGAACAAATGATAAAGCTGTCAGGTCTGTGCTTACATCATTATGCCCCAAGGCCATTCCCTTTGTTAGTTTCTTAGTCAAGGAGAGAGAGATGTTTTCTTCACTCTATAGATTTGTTACTGAAGGGAGGAATGCTTTAACTTGAGGGAGCCAGCAGGTGGTGTTCAGGTTAAGGTGGCTTTTTCTCACATGGCCCATTGCATGGCTCAAGTGCCCTATTCAGCAGTTTAAGAAAACATGGTGGGCGGGTGTGTGTGTGTCTGCACACGCACACACACACCCAAAGTCCTGAGCTGAGGATAAAGGAAAAGGAATTGCAATATAGCCATCACCCCTAGAGGTAATTTCTCGCTTTCCTTCTTACTTTCCTTCTCTCTTACATGAGCACACATGCTGCTCTACAGGAAAACTTTAAAAAAAATTTGAGAACAAGCAGTACAGTTCTAGGATCTCAAGGAAGCTTAGAAAAACAAAACCTATTATAAAGTGAAGTTTAATCCCCTGCTCAGATGTTATGGTGTTTTTTTAAATTCTCTTAGTATTATTTCAAAGTAAGGTTTCAAACCTGGTCTTGAATTACATCAAATTAACTATTCTTTGCATGTTTTTTCTTTTTTAAAAATAAAACAGATCTTTGCAAATGAGACTCTTAGAACTCTGTGCCTTTGCTACAAGGAAATTGAAGAAAAAGAATTTGCAGAATGGAATAAAAAGTTTATGGCTGCAAGTGTGGCCTCGACCAATCGGGATGAAGCTCTGGATAAAGTATATGAGGAGATTGAAAAAGACTTAATTGTGAGTTTTTGCCTTAATTCTTTCCTTGATAGTCTAAACAATTGAAAATTTGATTAAGTTTTATTACATTGTTTGTTTCATGTTTGAAAGATAATTCCAACGTGTTTTAAATGGGTGCAGTAGAACTAGGTTACTTAAATGTCTTTTGTTCAGCAAGAACAGAAGTTGACTTTATGAGAAACCAAAAGAAAATTAGGAGAAGTCCTAATCGGATTCTTTTATTTTTATATCACTTATTAAAATTTATTGTGATTTTTATATGTAACAAATCAATCTTTACTCATTTCATTGTGGGAAAGACTGAAACTAGTGCATTGATTCTGAATGAAATTTCTCAAAATTCAGTGTTCATTGCCTGGAGAGTTTGGATTACTGGAAAATGTTCAAAAATAGTTGATGTTGTTCTTTAGCAAGAGAAACTGGCTTATGTTGGTATAATTCAGCAAATACACAGTGGAAGTATTTTTAATGTCCCTGATTTTGTACTTGCATCTTAGTCTTGGTAAATTAAATAGTTCCTTTAAGGATGAAGGTGTTTTGTGTTTGGGTTTGTGGTGAGTGTAAAACATGGCAGCCTTCCCTGTCTACACTGGCCATTGGTCCTAGAAGAACATCAGCCAGGGTGTATAATCAGCCCTTTCTTTTACAGGTTGTCCAAATAAAATTACAGAAAATTTTTTGGTTTATTTGCTAATTCCTTTTTTTTTTATTTCATATTTACATTCCAGCTATTAGGAGCTACAGCTATTGAAGACAAGCTACAGGATGGAGTCCCAGAAACCATTTCAAAACTTGCAAAAGCTGACATTAAGATCTGGGTACTTACTGGAGACAAAAAAGGTAACACTCCATGTAGGGAAGGGGTGTGCACATTCATCAATATTTATAGCTGTGTTTTCTTTGCCCAAGATGACCTTCTCAGACTTTCTATTCCACATAGACACTCTCTGTTCCTTTGGAAGATGCTTTCTTTGAGAAATCCTCCTCTATTATTCCAACCTACCCTGACAGTATTCTTCCCTAGACTGCCTCAATAGCAGAGTTCATTCACTAATTTAGCTCCTGAACATGTCTTTCTGATTGTAATCAGTCTTAGCGCTCCAACCAAATGTGGCTCCTGTCCTGAAAGGGCCGTTCCCCTTGTCCTTCTGTCCATCCAGCACTTTGTCCACTTCTTGTACATCAAGTAGAACAATACAGATGCTGAACAGCAATTTTTCTTTTCTTACTCGTTTTATGATTGAAAATTATAATTAAAATTGTATTCCCAAGGAAAGATTTCTATTTTTATACAGAGCTTGACAGGTAGTTGTTTGGCTTTGATGCTTTACTGAGTACCTCCCACAGAAAAACAAGGAACATCTCTTACTCTGACATCAGTGGGTTGATGGGTTGCTCACTTAAAGTTCAGGGAAGCACAACCTTGACCTTAAATAAATAGCAAATGGGAGGTCATGGAAAAGGGGAAAAGCTAAGAGCCGCACATGACAGTTGATGGAAAGGGTAACGCTTCTTCCCTCTCACGGCAGAATGGTTCAGCCACATGAACTGAGTGTGTCATCAGAATGGTTCAGCCACATGAACTGAGTGTGTTTAGTATTTTAACTGACACTGGCTTATTAAATAACCAGTTTATATTTATATATTGGAAAATATCGTACATTTTATTATTGAAAGCATCTCAAACCACACTTAATTATTTTATTTTATTTATTTTTTTTGCTGTATGTGATTTCTACAGAAAAATAGCATATTTGGTTAAATCTGTTACATTCATGGATTGGAAAAAATTACTCAGTAAAGTCAATTATTCAGTCAAGCAGTAGAAACAGCACTTGACTTACTTCCATTCTGTCGTAGAAACTGCCGAAAATATAGGATTCGCTTGCGAGCTTCTGACGGACGACACCACGATCTGCTACGGGGAAGATATAAAGTGAGTGCAGGGCCTGTGGGGTGGCACTGGGTGACTTTGCACTTTCACAGAGGCAAGTCTAGATGCTCTAGACAGCAGATATGGAAAATGGGACCTAGACTATGTCGCTTGGGACAGTTTCTTCATATTCAAAATAACAAAGAGCACAAGAGTCAGTTTCAAATGACCACGTGACTTTATTTTGGGTAGATTTTCGTTTTAAAGACTTGGGCCCGCTTAAGGGCCATTTTTTTCTCCATTCCTTAGGTCCTCCTTGCTCGCCTACTGAAAAAGGAAGTGAGCTTGTGACAGCGCTAGCAAGTTAACACGAATGACATTCATGCTTTGCCTTTCCTAAGATTGTACCTTCTGAAAGAGAAATAGAAGAGACGAGGAGGGCACAGACCTTGGCCTGGAAAACTTTGGGTGTTTCCCCAAAGTCGAGTCTAGATGGGGCAAATCTCACATTTCAGACCTTAGGGTGTGTCGTCATATTCATGAGGCTTGCATCAGTCATAGCTGGCCTGGAAATGTGTAATAACAAAACTCTGCAGGTTACAAATGAGAGATGTCAACATGTTATACAGTTACCGTGATGTGTTTACTGATGGCTTGACAGTTCCACTGAGTCCTCCAGCTCCTTTTTATTTTTATAGGAAAAAATGCATTTATTTAATGTCCAAGTACACACATATTTACACACACATATATACTAAAACAATGCTTAGTCTTACCATGTGGGATGCATTTGTGAAGTATTCTGCTCTACATTCATTCATTATAAAATAAAAATGCTGGTCACAACCTGGTAAATAAATTTTACAAACCACAAACATGTTATAACCCATAACTTCTCAAGAGTATTATCAATACTGGGAACCAGCAGTTAGCGTAATGGCTATGTTGCTGGACTCCCACGTAGTCAACCACGGTTCGCGTCCCGGACCCGGAGGCTTAAAACTCACGCTGGGTGGGTGTGCGTGCATGCGTGCCCAAGATCCCGAGAGAAGAATGGAGGAGAAGGGATTGCAGCGTGACCATCCCCCCTGGGGGGGTGATTTCTCGCTTTCTGTCTCTATGTCTCTGTCTGTCTGTCTGGCGAGCGCACACGCCCTTTAGCCAAAACCTCTCCAAAAAAAAAAAAAAATAAGAAAAAAAAAAAGAGTATTATCAATACTAATTTATAATTTCAGAAAATTTATAGTATTCCTCCTTCTTTGAATTAGCCTACAATAGTAGTCTATGTACTCAGAGTAAAACAAAAAAATTTTTAAATTTGCCATAACTTTGTGTGTGCTCACCAGAGAGAGACAGAAAAAGAGAAGGGAAGTGAGAAATCAACCCTCTGGAGAGATGGCCATGCTGCAATTCCTTCTTCTCCACTCTCCTCTCTAGACTTTGGGCACACACCCACCTCCCCATGCGGATTGTCAGGTCACTGGATCTGGGACTCCAACCGTGTTGTCGGCCATGTGGGATCCAGCCGCCTTAACCTCCACCACTGAAGAAAAACAAATTTAACATAGCCGTGTTACCATGGATCCTGCCTGGACGTGGTGCATATTTCAGTGTGCCTCAGTCATCTGGCTTCCAAGACCCAAGGAAATAACGTTCAACTATGGAGCAGGACCCTGTGTCAGTTCCGCACATTTTATGTGTCTGTTTAAACCTTTCCATGATCCTCTCAACAACCCTGTGAGGCAGGCAGAGAAATATTATCAGATTCGTTTTATAGGTAATGAAATTTATGCTCAAGGAGGTTAAGTGACCTCCCCAGTTATCATTTACCTGGTCAGAGCAAGGCTAGAATAAACACCATCTACTTTCAGGTTGAGGGCTCCTTTCCCTAAACTATATAGCTTCTGAAGACGAATCTTAAATAAATATTTTAACCACTTCAACCTCATCTCCTTATTGTCGACTCAACTTTTTATAGCACACAACTAAAGACCTATTTATAATTCTAAACTTATCATGCCAAATTTATGCTTCTCTATCAACAAAAACTTTTGATCAGAGAACATATTGTTTTGGAAAGTGGTTTCTTTGTCACTAGTTTAAAGGAACATAAGCATTATGAAAGACCTTAAAGGTCAAGGAAATTGAAGAGAAGTCAGAGGAAGGGACATAAAATAGAATGTATTGGGGCTGACAGGTGGCATGGTGGTTGGGGCGCTGGACTCCAAAATGGTCGGCTGCAGTTTGACTCCTGGACCTGGTAGCTTGCTTTCTCATTTTCCCTCTCCCCCTCTCTCTCTTCCTCTCTCTCTCTCTCTCCTTTTCTTGTCAAATTAAAATAAAGTTAAATATTTTTAAAAAATAGAATGTATTATATTAATGGATTTTGGTCTCCTTAAACTTGTGCTTTTGTCAAAGGATTCAATGGAGATCTTTACTGCAGGTGAAGAGGCTTCTGAAGAGACTCTAAGTCTTGATGAAGTTATTCAAACTCAAATCTTGAATGCATAATGATGAGAGGCCATGGCCTTCAAAAACTTGGTACTTGATGAGCTCCCAAAGTGCTAGATTTGAATGCCACAGTACAAATTGATTCATGTTTTTGTCCATTAACGGTCTGTGGGCATGGGAATTAAGGCCATGTGGCCAACCACAGTTTGAGTGCAGGACCCGGTGGCTTGAAAATCACGTCAGGCGCGCGTGTGTGTGTGTGTGTGTGTGTGCCCAAAACTCTGACAGAAGAATAGAAGAGAAGGAATTATAGCATGGCCGTCCCTCCTGGGGGGTGATTTCTCACTTTTCCTCTCTCTGTCTCTCTCCTGTGAGCACATGTACCCTCTGACAAAAACTATATGTGTGTGTATGTGTGTGTGTATGTATGTGTATATACATACATACTTGTATGTCAAAATGACTCACAGTCAAGGGCCTGTCTATGGTCTTGTACTTTAAATAGTTAAATTTATTTTCTCCCAGTTCACTTCTTCACGCAAGGATGGAAAACCAGAGAAACAGAGGTGGAGTCTATGCAAAATTTGCACCCCCTGTGCATGAACCTTTTTTTCCGCCTGGTGAAAACCGTGCCTTGATCATCACTGGTTCTTGGTTGGTATGTATCATTCATTAGGGCATCTCTGCCTTTGACTCAAATGAAAGAAATTTATTTTGAACAAGTTTTAAAAGGATTTCCTCAATGTAACAATCTCTTGGCCTATAAGTGAAAGTGTGCTTTTCTAAGATCAAGACTTACTACTACATGATATATGAAAGGAATTATACCAAATTAATCAAAATGGTTATCTTAGTTTATTAATTTCTTCAGAGATATTTTTGATGTAGGGTGTGTACACTTGCCTGAGAGACAGAGACAGAAGTGAGAAAGCATCCCCTCTGGGGAATGGCCATGCCGCAATCCCTTCTCCTCTATTCCTCTCTTGGGGATTTTGGGCATGCATGCACATGGTCCCAGTGTGAGTTTTAAGTTGCTGAGTCTAGGACTTAAACCATGGTCAACTATATGGGAGTCCAACAGTGTAACCATTATGCCATCTGCTGGTCACAAGTTTATTAGTCAATGAGTAATATTCATTTTCTTCCTTATGGGTTATTATTTTTCTAGATTTTTGTAGTAAATATGTTTCTTTGGTTTTCTGTTATTGTTTTTGGAGAGACTTTTGCTATAGGGCACAGGTGTTCACCAGAGAGACAGAGAAATAGAAAGCAAGAAATCACCCCCTGGGAGGATGGCCACACTGGAATCTTTCTCCTCCAATCTCTTCTCAGGATTTTGGGCACATATGCACCCAGCATGAGTTTCAAGACACCTGTTCCAAGACTCGAACCGTGATTGGCCACATGGGGTCTAGCAACGTAACCACTCCACCATCTGCTGGTCCCACAAATATGTTTTATAATCAACAATATAATCAGGGATATAACCCAAAAGCATCTTTCCTATAATTTAGGTCTTGGGAATGGTATGTTTGGTATTAAACACTAAAACGATTGCCATCCCTCTCCAATTCCAGAATGAAATTCTCCTCGAGAAGAAGGCCAAGAGTAGTAATATTCTGAAGCTGAAGTTCCCAAGGACAGAAGAGGAAAGACGAATGCGGACCCAGAGTAAGCGGAGGCTGGAGGCCAAGAAAGAGCAGCGGCAGAAGAATTTTGTGGACCTGGCCTGCGAGTGCAGCGCTGTCATCTGCTGCCGCGTCACCCCCAAGCAGAAGGCCATGGTGGTGGACCTGGTGAAGAGGTACAAGAAAGCCATCACGCTGGCCATCGGAGACGGGGCCAATGACGTGAACATGATCAAAAGTGAGTCACGCATAGGAGCCTAGGAAGACTCAACTTACTAGACAGAAGAAATGGCGGGGACATCTGGGAAGGGGTCTATTTTTTTCCCCAGATTTTATCCCTTTGGTTTTTATAAAGCAGATGTCTAACAAAGACATGTATCCATCCTGACTGTCCCTGTGACTGCGCCCTCAAGAGGCCTGCAGTGTGCGGCAGGAGAGGGCAGTCTGACGGTGGCACACACATTACAAGCAGATAAAGAGTACCATATGGTGACTTTATCCTTATGTTTCCTTGGATATGTTTATCTCCCTTGCAGTTCTTCCATACTTCCTTCCTTCTTTCTTTCTGTCTTTCTTTCCATCCATCTATTTATTTATTTTTAAAAAATTTTTTGAGAGGTTTTTGCTATAGGGCGCGTGCACTCTCCAGAAAGACATAGACAGACAGAGAGACAGAAAGCGAGAAATCACCCCCCAGCAGGGATGACCTCACCACAATCCCTTCTCCTCCATTCTCCTCTTGGGATCTTGGGCACGCAGGTGTACGTGCCTGATGTGAGCCTAAGCCACCAGGTCCGGAAGTCGAACTGCAGTCGACTACATGAGAGTCCAGAGATATAGCCATTATGCTAACTGCTAGTCTGTCTATTTATTTTTTTAATTGCCAAAGAGCATGGACACTTGCCTGATAGGGAGAGAGAAAGCACTCCCTCCATGGAGCATGGTCACAGCATAATCCATTTTTTGCCATTCCTTATACTGGTTAGGATTCTCTACACACACGCACATGCACCTAATGTGTTTCTCAAGCCACTTGGGGCAGAATTTGAACCATGGTCAGCCATGGGATCCAACTCCCTATGCACCATGCTCAACTACTATGCTACAGGGCCTACCCTCTTCCACATTTCTTTTAGACTTTCTTAAAAACCCTATATTTAGGGACCAACAGATGGTATAGTGGCTACATTGTTGGACTCCCACATAGTCAACCACGGTTCAAGTCCTAGACACAGTAACTTAAAACTCAGGCCGGGCCTATTTGCTTGTGTGCCCAAGATCCCGAGAGGAGAATGGAGGAGAAGGGATTGTGGCATGGCCATTCCCCCTGGGGTTTGATTTCTCACTTTCTGTCTCTCTGTCTCTCTCTGTCTCTGATGAGAGCACACACCCTATAACAAAAGCTCTTAAAAAAAATTCTGAGCATGGCCTAAATTGTTCAACTCTCTCTGGTGTTTTTTGGGGGTTTTTTTTGAGAATATTCTCCCTCAGTTTAAGCATCTCTTTCTGGGGCTTGCTTCTTATCTTTTGTAAATCTATTGGGACTAGCAAAAATCTCTCTTAATCAATGCCTCCATTTCCATGTGATAATATTCTGTTCTATAATAGAATGAGTAACAAACTTAGAAACCCTACATTTTACACGTAAGACTGTCAATCATTAAATTAGCCACCTTAAAAATGTCATTTTTGAGCTGACCCCTTGACCTGGTGGTTCATAGCAGCTGACCAACTGCATGGTTTGAAACCCAGAATCCGAAACTTGAGAAATATGCAAGGCACATGTGCATGCATGCCCAAAATCCCCCTCCCCCAAAAAAAGGGAGATGAAAGAGACTGTGACCTGACCATTCCCCATGAGGGGTGCTTTCTCTTCTCCCTCTCTTTCTCTCTGTCTGTCTCTCTGTCTCTCTCTGTCTCTGATGAGAGCACACACCCTATAACAAAAGCTCTTAAAAAAAATTCTGAGCATGGCCTAAATTGTTCAACTCTCTCTGGTGTTTTTTGGGGGTTTTTTTTTGAGAATATTCTCCCTCAGTTAAGCATCTCTTTCTGGGGCTTGCTTCTTATCTTTTGTAAATCTATTGGGACTTCCCCATTGGGTCACCTGGTGTGAGTTTAGAGTAATGTGCTTAACATTGAAGTAAAACTCCAATGTGGTTCTTGCTGTCCTCCAGACCTCCCTGGAATACTGCCAAAGATGGTGTGCTGGTTGGAGGACCATGGGTACTCATTATTAGAGGAGGGAGTGCTGTCATGCAGAAAGGCAGTTGTACTGTTATTAAAGCACACAGAACTAAACCTGCAACCGTGGTTATGCACCTGAGTCCTGGTCCTTTCTTCTCCCTCAATCAGTATAAGGGAGTATGTTGTAACAAAAATACCCAAACTAGTAAAGTCCAAGAATTTGTCCTCATCCTACTACCAGCAGCCTGTGTAACCCTGGGTTTATGCTCAAGTGTCAGTTTTCTTATCTGAAATTAGGTGAATTATGCCTCCATTATCACCTCCAGCTCTGATACCACTGTCATTAAGGTGAACTGTTATGTGTCCTGTTTTGTTGGGTAGCTTAAATGTGTTATATACAATTAGGCTTTTAATTCAGTCTATTTTGTGACTCATGAGTCTATCTCTTTTTCTCCTTAGAGTCTCCTCTCCCTTCTCCTTGATATATACTAAGAATACTCCAACCTTATCTTCCTCAACAGGAGTCCCTGTATGACGTATGTCTTCTTGCTTTTTTATCCTTCTATTTATCTGTCACCTCTGCCAGCTTAATTCTTCTGCACTGTTTTTTGCATGTCCTGCCAGAAAAATGGCATTTCTTGCTTAGAATTAAATCTATTGCTTCCTCTGTAGCCCAGTCTAATTTATTTTCCATTCTGTACCTTAACGTAACTAGTTGTGCCAAGAGGCCGAGTAACCCAAACGTTATTTTTGTTTGGTTGTAATGTAGACGTAGAGATGTTCGTGGGAAGCAGGAAGGGCGGGGGTGAGGTGTAGAGGGATGACTTGCTTTGAAGGTTTACCATGTGATTACATGACTTAGACTTAAAATATTTTGTTCCTCTGCATTCACCAATTGTTAGTGAGAGAGATCACTCAAAGTCAACATATTGGGTTGTCAGAAAAGTCTTTTCACATAGAAAAACTGTGTCATGACTTTTCTGACAACCTAATAGATAACCTGTAGAGGCTTTTTATTCTGAAATTGTTTTAAAACCTCTATTACCCTCTGTTATATGTCACTTGCATTTACGTATAACTTATGGAGCATCCACTTAAGTGGAAAATGAAGGACATTCTGAGATCTGGAAAGTTAGTCACGTTATACCTTTTTGTGCTTTGTAAAAGCTGGCATCTTTTTCAGCTGCCTCAAGAACAATATACAGAAAGGAATTATGGTTTTTGGTCATAAAGTAGTAGAGTAAAATTCAAATATTGAAAGCAATCAGACCATTGGCTAGCATGCTTCATGGCTAGCAGTGTAGTCTAGCAGAAGTGGAGGGAATCATGACCATTATGTTTTGGGTCCTTACAAGGATCCAAGAACTGTCATAGCCCCCTCCCCTCTGTCTCTCTCTCATACTGAAGATGTCTCATACCAGCTCTGGTCTTGATTTTAGACCCTGAGAACGTATGAGAGAGATGAAAGAAAGGCAGAATTGCACAAAGAAAAGATCAACATGTGAAAGAATTAGGAAGGAGTATCTATCAATAAAGCATTGACAGCAAATTTGGAAATCCAGGAAAATCTAGGGGCCTACATGCAGGCTTTGGAAACAAACACAAAAACTAAGTGTTGCTTTATGGCACATCTGCTCAGCTGCCCTCAGTTATACTGTGAACCTTTGCAACATTCATTTCACATATGGTTCTTGGGCTGCTCAGCGGCGGGGTTGAAGGACTCAATACTAGCTGGAGCCTTGGGTCCTCTCCCTCAGCCCCTGCAGCTACATGAATCTCAGCATTTCTCTCTGTGGCTTATTCAGGAAAGAAAAGAAGGCCATGGTTTGGGAGGACAAAGCAGTTTGACAGCCACAACTGGTCATAACTGTTGGCGTGTTTTGAAAAAGGTGGTAACTATTGAATGAGAGGCAGTTTGTTCAGTGTTTTGAAACTGCAAAGTATTGTTGAAACCTTATGTTTGGACAAGTCACTACAGTGATGTTTTGCATTTGCCAGACTTCATTCTGCCACTGAAGCAGGAACTCTGAGGTTTCTTTTGAGTTGGAAACTCGGCAGGCGGTTCTCAGGGTCTGAGTAATCATAGGTTGTGTTCTCCAGCATGTTTTCTCTAAGTGACTTCACTATCTGTCTTCATGTTTATGATTTTTTAAGACCTAGATAAAACTCATCATTCTCTAACTGGAAAATGCTATTTAGTAACTATTGAAAGGATGAATAAAATTGTGACTTCAGTTTTTATCCATATTCTGGAAAGCTTCACTGCCCCTTTAAAAAAAAAAAAATAGATGTATCTCAAGGTCATGATGAACCATGAATAAGCCTTTGAAAATTGAAGGGTGTTTTAGTTAAGACTCTCCTGATTACATGTATTAGGGAACAACCAAAACCTAGTGTAAGGGAAAAGAAAGAATTTGCTTTTAAAAGACACAAAGATGTCTTCACGCTGACCAAAAGGCCAGGCCTCAGAGAATGTTGGAACTAAGACTTAAAAGCCGCCTCAGGAACCTTCTGTTCCTCTGTCTCTCTTCCTTTCTCTCTCCAGACTACTCTATTTCTCTGCCTTTCAGAACCTTTCAGAAAAAAAAATACATCTATGCTATGCCTCAAGAATTTACACATTAAAATTCCAGACACAAACACACCTAAATTCTAATTCTAGAATGTTAAGAGTGATAGATTATTCCAGCTTTGAGTTTCTATCAACTAGGGTTTAATACAGAAAACAGATACTAATAGATACTTTCAGTGGAAGACTAGATACTGTCAAATGCTCTGAATTGACTAAGGAAACAGGTTCTAGGCTCAGCCTGTAATCTCTGTGTCATTTACCAGAAGACCATCTTCCTTCAAGGGTCCTTTGTGGAATTTCTCAATTGAGAAGCCTTTGCAGTAGTCTATCAGCATCTAGGCAACTGGAAAATAGATATGAACCCTACTGAAGAAGAACCAAAAAGGGAAGGCATGCTAGGCTCCAATTCACTTCTGCTTTCAAATTCCAGCTGGCCTAAACAAGGGAACTTAATTCACAAAGATACCTAGCTGCAAGGGAGTCTGAGAATCGTAGGGATTCATTTGCATTCCCACCTCTCCAATTAGAAGAAAGTAGAATGAAGGTTTGTAGTATCTGCCATGGATTACTGACTCAGCCATGGCCAAGGAACACATAGTATACCTATGTGTGCCTGGGACTCACCCTGTGATTGGCATAGGAGCTAGGCAGATAACCCAAATGGAATTCACCACCATGTGAGATTCTTCCACAGATATTTATGGAGGCCCTGCCACGTGCTATTTATCAACCTGTCCCTCTGACTTTGTGTTAAGTTCAAGAGTTAGGGGTGGGAGATCGTGAGCAAGACGTTTGTGTTTATTATTCCCTGAATGTCTCTCTTTGTTGTTTGTCTGGGAAACATTTTTATGATCTGATGTTTCACCTTAAAATCAGCTTGTGATCCACAGAGTCTTCTCCCTCTGCCCCACAGCTGCCCACATTGGTGTTGGAATAAGTGGACAGGAAGGAATGCAAGCCGTCATGTCAAGTGACTATTCCTTTGCTCAGTTCCGATACCTGCAGAGGCTGCTGCTGGTGCATGGCCGGTGGTCTTACATAAGGATGTGCAAGTTCTTAAGATACTTCTTTTACAAAAACTTTGCATTTACTTTGGCTCATTTCTGGTACTCCTTCTTCAATGGCTACTCTGCACAGGTAATGTTACAATCTTATTTTTATATTATGTTGAGTATAGCTTTTGTTCTTAAGTAAATACACTCTAATTCTGAAAAGACAAATTTATTTCTTCCCTCTGTACTAATGTATAATTTGGGTACTGTATTTGCCTGTAGTTGAGGCGTAATTTATTATAATCATGATTTCTTGTTCTAAAATGTTTTTGATGCCTTTCAAGTATTTTATTTTGCTTTGAAGGGGGTCTTATATGTTTTCATCTTCATTATATATTATTCTCCATGTTATCTTGCCTTTAAGAATAGTGATAGTGGGGCCAGCGGTGGCACAGTGGTTAAGATGCTGGACTCTCATATGGTTGACCACAGTTTGAATCCTGGACCTGGTGGCTTAAAACTCACGCTGGGCACGTGTGCGTGCGTGCCCAAGATCCCGAGAGAATGGAGGAGAAGGGATTGTGGCGTGGCCATCCCCCCTGGGGGGTGATTTCTCGCTTTCTCTCTCTCTCTGTCTCTCTCTGTCTTTTTGGTGAGTGCACATGCCCTATAGCAAAAACCTTTAAAAATATTTTTTTAAAGAATAGTGCTAGCGGGACCAACAGTTAGCGTAATGGCTATGTCGCTGGACTCCCATGTGGTCAACCGCGGTTTGCATCCTGGACCTGGTGGCTTAAAACTCACGCTGGGCACGTGTGCGTGCGTGCCCAAGATCCCGAGAGAAGAATGGAGGAGAAGGGATTGCGGCGTGGCCATCCCCCCTGGGGGGTGATTTCTCGCTTTCTATCTCTCTGTCTCTGTCTGTCTGACAAGCGCATGCACCCTATAGCAAAAACCTCTCCAAAAAAGAAAGAAAAAAAAAAAAGAACAGTGCTAGCAAATTGTTTAATTAAGAGTGTGAAATTATCTTGTGACTGGAGCTAAAGGGATTATGTAAATTGTGAGTTTAAAAATCTATTACCAGACCAGCTTGTGGTATGGTGGTTAAGGCTGTTGAGTCCCACATGGCCCACTGAGTGGTTTAAGTCCTGGACCCAGGAGCCTGAAAAACACACTCGTGCTTGTGTGTGTGCATGTGTGTGTGTGTGCACAAAATCCCGAGAGGAGATTACAATGTGGCCATCCCCCTGGGTGAGGGGTGATCTCTCTTTCTGTCTTTCTCTATCAAGCCCATGCACCGTGTAGCAACAATAAAAAAAAAAAAAAAAAAAAAAGAAAGAAAGAAAGAAGAAGAAATCTGTCGTTATTGCTTTTTTTTGTTGGTTTGCCCCCGCTTTTTTTTTTTTCATTTTGCAAAACGGGAGTAGGGGACCTACGTAATATGTTAAATGGTGATAGTACAACAAGAAAATATTAGTAAAATGGACCTCAGATGGTACCTGTGGCTGTCAGAATTTCAGTGCTGGGCCACAGAAGAATGGTGTCAGCAGAGCTGCAGGAACAGGGACCCATAGAGAGATCTAGCAGGGGCGAGTCTCCTGTCTGAGCAGCACTGCACAAAATTTTTGGTTTTGAGTCAGCCCTCTTCTGCCATTGCACCCTGAGGGATGATGCATACACTGTGTCATTTACCCTTTTCAGAAGCACAGAATTTTCTTATATCCCATTAAATTCTGTTTTACAAAACGTTTTCCTGGAAATACTGGCCTTGTAAAATAAAAGGAAAAGAATTGAACAGTACTTATATGCTTTTGAACCAGTGTATTTCTTTTTGGAGTCTAATTCATTAATAAAGGGATATTAAAATGATGAATGCTGACTTCTTTTCCAGCATTGTCCAAATAGAATGGACTGTTTTTTTCTTTTTCTTTCTTTTTTTTTTTTTTTTTTCAGATAGAGTTTTTTCGTGTGTGTGTGGGGGGGGGAGGTTGTTTTGTTTTGTTTCGTTTTTTTGCTTTAGGGCACATGCACTTGCCAGAGAGACAGAGAGATAGAAGGCAAGAAATCACCCCTCAGGGGGATGACCATGCCACAGTCCCTTCTCCTCCATTCTCCTCTCAGGATTTTGGGCATGCATGTACATGCACCTGGTGTGAGTTTTAAGCTGCCAGGTCCGAGACTTGATGGTCAACAACATGGGAGTCCAGCAATGTAACCATTATGCCATCTGGTCCCTAGAATAGACTGTTTTATCCAAAACTTTTGGAGTCTGCATTCCCCCCACCACCACCACCACATATGTTGGGTTGGGGTGGAGATTCATTTCTGTGGGAAGGTCCATGGTGCTGCTCATTCCATAGAAGCAAATTCACGTCTAGTACTGGTGTAAGTGAGGAAGCTTTACAGCGGGAGTTCCCACTCAGGCTTGGAGAGAGTAGAGGAAGGTGTGTCCACTAGGCCGGCGGCTTCTCTGTGGGTGATGGAACCCTCTGTTCTTCCTCGCAGACAGTGTATGAGGACTGGTTCATCACGCTCTACAACGTGTTGTACTCCAGCCTGCCTGTGCTGCTCATGGGGCTGCTGGACCAGGTAGGAGCCCATGCACCTGCTAGAGAAGGTCTGAGCACGCATGCCGTGTGTTCTTCCGATTTTCCATCTTTCCGAGTAAACCCTATTATAACACAGTTGGGCAGCAAGGATAACTGCAGTGCTTCTCCTCTTGTGATAAGAAAAGAGAATTTCTGTGACTGCCTTGACTTCATTGATGAAACTGTTTATCGGGCTCTTTTAGGACACTAAGCCCTTACTGTTAAGGTAACCAAGAGTCTAAAATGTCCCTAAAATAATCACTTACTCATTTTAGAGTATACTTTAGGGCCAGTAGGTGGCGTGGTGGTTAAGACACAGGATCCTACATGGCTGACTCTGAGGTTTGAGTACTGGACCTGGCGACTTGAAAAACGCTCCAGACGCCTATGCACATGTGCCCAAAATCCTGAATAGAGGAGAAGGCATATGGTGTGGCCATCCCCCCTGCGGGGGGACAATTTCTCACTTTCCCTCTCTCTCCAGTGAGTGCACACACCCTATGGCAAAAATCTAAATAATAATAATTTTAAAATGTAAATTATAATACTTTCTAAAACGTGTATATTTAATTCCCAAATTAATCTATGTGAGAAGACTTTGAAATGTTTGTATAAAGTGGAATTAAAGTACAAATTTATTTTATCTGAAAACATTTTGAAGTCCTTGCACAGTTTTTTCAGAATACACATTTTCCATAAACTTTTGAAGGATCCTTTTATCAATAACAAATTTTAAGTAAAGTACCTTAATGAATAAAAAATAATAACTTAGAATGAGCTCACCAACTCACCAGTAATAAATAAAAATTTTTCTTAAAGAATGTGAAACAATATATTCCCAGGAGGTTAAAAAAAAGCTTCTCTATTATTTCTTGACATAATTTGATTTCCTTTCATAAGTATCAAAATAATGAACTTCTGTCCAGCCTCTCTGAATTAAATGTCAAATAGTGATAGGCTAAATCTATGACATTGGTCTATGCACACTGAAAGTACTGCAGAATTTATCATCTGTTCAGGTTTTTGTTTTGCTTGCCTTCCTCAAACTTGCCAGCAAGTGGTTAGCCTTCCTGAGATACAGATCGTAACTATCTCTGACCTTGCTGTAACGGTCAAACACCACCCTTATTTTCTTTTCCCCTTAAGGACGTGAGTGACAAACTGAGCCTCCGATTCCCTGGGTTATATGTAGTGGGACAGAGAGACTTACTATTCAACTATAGGAAATTCTTCGTGAGCCTGTTGCACGGGATCTTAACATCGATGATCCTCTTCTTCATACCTCTCGGAGCTTACCTGCAAACCGTGGGACAGGATGGAGAGGCGCCTTCCGACTACCAGTCTTTTGCCGTCACTGTTGCCTCCGCTCTTGTGATAACAGTCAATTTCCAGGTACGAGGCTTCCGTTGCCTGTTTGGTACTGTTCGTATCTGTATCTCTGTGTGTAGGCTCGCGTGCCCATCCACCTGACTCCCACTGAGCCTCTGCCCCTTTGCAAGACCCGAATGCTATTTTCATCACTTACACTAAGCACATTTCTTATTTCTTGCCTGAGTCAGGGGTGATTTAGTTTCTGATTGTTCTGTAATCAAGCTGAATCATGTTTGAGTTGCTAAATTCTGTTTTCAGAATGATTAGATCCTTTATTTCTTACTAACTTTGCAAAACGAGTGTCCTGTTTTTTTTCTCTGATTTTCCCGCAGATTGGCTTGGATACTTCCTACTGGACTTTCGTGAATGCGTTTTCCATTTTTGGAAGCATTGCACTTTACTTTGGCATCATGTTTGACTTTCACAGTGCTGGAATCCATGTTCTCTTACCATCTGCATTTCAGTTTACAGGTTGGTAAATTCGAAATTCCAAAAATAAGCATACAGACAAATGTCATTAGTTTGGATACTGACATAACTTCTAAGTAAGTTAAAAAACATCACAGGGGGCTGGCAGGTGGCGTGGTGGTTAAGGTGCTGGACTCCCACATGGCTGACTGTGGTTCAAGTCCTGCACCAGGTGGCTTGCTTCTCATTCTCCTTCTTTTCTCTCCCCTCCCCCCCACTCACTCTCTCTCTCTGGTCAAATTGAATAATAGTAATAAATAAATATATAAATCTTTTTTAAAGTTACAACTATAAATTACTGCTGGTGAACATTAATGGTCTGGCTAGAAGTTAAATGATGATGATGGGTGGAAAGCAAGTTAAAAAAAAATACAAAACATTAAGATGGGTCATCAGGTGGTGTCGTGGTTAAGGCACTTGATTCCCATGTGGCCGACCACAGTTTAAGATTCGGTGACTTGAAACATACTGGTGAGTGTGCATGCATGCCCAAAACCTCAGGAGGAGAAGGGATCGCAGAGTGGCCATCCCCCCAAGGGGTGGGTGATTTCTTGTCTCTTCTCTTTCTTTCTCCAGCGAGCATACACACCCCATAGCAAAACTTCTCTTAAAAAAAAAAAAAAAAAAAAAAAAAAAACCTTAAGATACAATTGTGCATTTGCTCTATTTTCCTAGAGAGGTTAGATAAAAAGCCTTTTATGTATTTATATTTTTCATAAAACCTAATACTGGGTATCAGCAGGTGGCATAGTGGTTAAGGCACTGGACACTCCCACGTGGCTGACGACGGTTCAAGTCCTGGACCTGGTGGCTTACTTTCTCACTTTCCCTCTCTCTTTGTTTCTCTCTGGTCAAATTAAAATAAATGAATGAATAAATAAATAATTCTTTAAAAAGAAAAAACACCTAATACTGGTAAGTTAATGGAAAATTAAGTACACATGTAGCTGGTAGCACTGTGATATTGCTTAATCTAACCAAAGGATTACCTGAAAATGCATAATAGAATATAAAACTTTTCTTACATTTGGCTAGGTATTTCCACTTTGGGAAAATACCCCAACATTAAATAATCCAAGTTTTGGCAAGGTAATTTGTTCAAAGACTGTATTGTCACATTTCTAATTATAGAAAAGGAGGAAAAGAGAAATAACCTGAAAACCTAAGAATATTAAGTTAGCTAATCAATATCAACTTCAATTGGTTATGAAATACCAGTATGATAGACTTCCTAGAGCTCAGAAACATATTGGAAACATGTATGCACAACAATAAGTAACAATGGATAAAAAACAAAATGTGACCAGAGATCACAATTGTATAAAACATATGACATGTTAACAAATGTAGAATAAATTTGAAATGCCATAAATACTACAGATCTCATAAAATATTGTGAATAAAGATAAATATCATAAACTAAATTTATGAGACTCTTATCTGAATAGAGAATTTGGATTCACAATGGGAAGAAATTCCTCATATGCTAGTTTCCCTATGAAGATTTCAATTTTATCACCAGTTGTTGGGTTGTAAAGGCAGTTGTTGTGGTAACCCTTGTGTTCTTGGTATTGAGCTAATTCTTTATGATTGTGGGTTGTTTTTTTTTCACTGACTATGTTTTAAATATTTAATACCCAGTTATTTAGAATGTTCTCATAGACTTTTTTTTTTTAATCACATATATATTTAACCACATTTTAAAAAACAAAGACCACTGTTTTTGTAAGCTTAGACTGTAAGTAAGGAAAACAGTGTGATAAAATTGCCAGGTCCAGGCCATGAACTGTGGTGGACTATGTGGGAGTCCAACAACATAACCATTCCACTATCTGCTGGTCCCAAGAACTGATTTTTCTAATTTTACTTTGCTTAATCTGATTTTAAAATGTCCATGCTGAGGGCCAGCAGATGGTGTAGCAGTTATGTCACTGGACTCCCACATGGCTGACCACAGTTTGAGTCCCGGACTCAGTGGTTTGAAACTCACACCAGGCATGTGTGCCCAAGATCCCAAGAGGAGAATGAGGAGGAAGGATTGTGGCGTGGCCATCCCCTGTGGGGGGTGATTTCTCACTTTCCCTCTTACTGTTTCTCTCTCTCTTCAGTAAGTGTATGTGCCCCGAGGCAAAAACCTCTAAAAAAATAAAATAAATAAAATAAAAATAAAAAATAAAATGACCATGCCAAGGGCCAGCCCATGACATGGTGATTAAGGCAGCTGGGTCCCACATGGCTGACTGCACAGTTTGAGTCCCAGACCTAGCATCCTGAGAAACATACCAGACACATATGTGTACCTGTCCAAAATCCAAAGGAGAAATGAAGGAGAAGGGGTTGTGGTGTGATCATCCCCCACTGGGAATGCTTTCTTACTTTCCCTTTCTCTCTTTCTGTCTCTGGTGAGCACACTCACCCTCTAGCAAAATTTCGTTATTATTGCTTTTTTAAATATTTATTGTAATTTGTGATTTTACATGCAATCATTATACATCTTTGTAGGATATAGAAGGGTCTTTAAAAGTATGTATATAGGAGGGAACCAGCAGTTAGCGTAATGGCTATGTCGCTGGACTCCCACGTAGTCGACCGCGGTTCGCGTCTCGGACCCGGTGGCTTAAATCTCACGCCAGGCGCGTGTGCGTGCGTGCCCAAGATCCCGAGAGGAGAATGGAGGAGAAGGGATTGCGGCGTGACCATCCCCCCTGGGGGGTGATTTCTCGCTTTCTGTCTCTATGTCTCTCTCTGTCTGTCTGGCGAGCGCACGCGCCCTATAGCAAAAACCTCTCCAAAAAAAAAAAAAAAAAGTATGTATATAGGAGACTAGCAGATGGCGTAATGTTTACGTTGCTGGACTTTCACCTAGTTGACCGCAGTTCGAGTCCTGGACCTAGTGGCTTGAAACTCATGCTAGGTGTATGTGCACATGTTCCTAAGATCCTGAGAGGAGACTGGAGGAGAAAGGACTGCAGCATGGCCATCCCCTCTGGGGGGCGATTTCTCACTTTCTATTTCTCTGTGACTCTGCAGCAAGCTCGTGCACCCCATAGCAAAAAATCTCTCTTTTGTGCTTGCTTTGGCAGCACGCATACCAAAATTGGATTGATACAGAGAAGATTAGCATGGCGTCTGTGCAAGGATGACACGCAAATTCGTGAAGCATTCCTTTTCATCATAGGGGAACTTGTGGAAGTGTCAGATAAACAATTCAAATATTTATAGTGACAAAGCTAAATGAGATGCAAGAGAAAAGTGACAATGAGCTCAAGGAGATGACGAAGATCTTTCACGATTTGAAAGAAGAAATAAACACCATAAAAAAGAATCAAATGGAATTATTAGAGATGAAGACCGTAATACAGAAAATCAAAACTACCCTCGAAAGTATTAAGAGCAGATTAGATCATGCAGAAAATCAAATCCCGAATACAGAAGATAAAACCACTGACCTAGAAAAAATTGGTATTAGCAGATGGTATATTGGTTACATTACTGGACTCCCACATAGTTGACCGCAGTTCGAGTCTCAGATCCAGCAACTTAAACTCATGCCAGGCATGTGTGCATGATGTCCCCCCCAAAAAAAATCCCAAGAGGAGAATGGAGTAGAAGGGATTGTGCCATGGCCATTTCCCTGGGGGATGATTTCTCGTTTTCTGCCTCTCTGTCTCTCCAGCAAGTGCACATGCCCTGTAGCAAAAATCTCTCTGAAAAAAAAAAATTATCAAAAAGACTGAGAAAATAACCAAGAAAAACAAGGGCAATTTACAAGAAATACTAGGTACCATTAAGTGCCCAAATATCAGATAATTGGTATCCCAGGAGAAGAAAATAATAAGGGCATTGGTAATCTATTCCTTGAAATCCTAGAAGATATAGAGAGGCATTAATATATCCATTCCCAAGAAATACAAAGGACCCCACATAGTAATACAAGAAGATCTTCTCCAAGGCACATCATAGCCAGACTGGCCAAAACAACAGACAAAGGCCAGTTACTAAAATTGGCAAGAGAGAAATGTCAAGTTACTTACAAAGGCTATCCCATCAGGTTAACCTTAGACCTCTGGTCAGAAACAATGCAAGCAAAAAAGGAATGGGGAAATATATAAAAAGTGTTAAAAAACTACTTTAACCAAGATTACTATACCCAGCAGGATTATCATTCATATTGGAAGAAAAGATCAAACATTCTCAGATAAACAAAACCTAAAAGAATTTTTTTAAGTAATTATTTTATTTTATTTATTCATTCATTTATTTTTTAGTTTGAGCAGAGAGAGACAGAGGGTGAGAATGAGAGAGAGAGAGGAAGTGAGAAAGCAAGCCACCAGATTCAGGACTTGAACCCTGGTCGACCATGTGGGAGTGTCCAGCTCTTTAACCACCATGCCACCTGCTGGTCCCAACCTAAAAGAATTTACCAACTTCAGACTAGCTCTTCAAGAAGTTCTGAGGGAATGCTATGCCAGGAAAACTAAAAAGTCAGACAGATACAAGAGAACAAAACACAATCAAGGAAATGTCTCACTTCATGAAAGGAGCATGTCTGGAAATATTGATAATAAGGTTGAATGTTAATGGATTAAATTCTCCAATCAAGAGACACAGAGTGGGGACCAGCAGCTAGCATAATGGCTATGTCACTGGACTCCCATGTAGTCGACCGCAGTTCGAGTTCCGGACCCAGTAGCTTAAACTCACGCCAGGCGCGTGTGCATGTGTGCCCAAGATCCCGAGGGGAGAATGGAGAAGGGATTGCAGTGTGGCCATCCCCCCCCCCGCGAGGGGGGTAATTTCTCGCTTTCTGTCTCTCTGTCTCTGTCTTTCCAGTGAGTGCACATGCCCTATAGCAAAAACTTCTCCCTCCCAAAAAAAGAGACACAGAGTGGCTGAATAGATTTAAAAAAAAAAACAAAAAACAGAAACTGTCTCTGTTGCCTATAAGAAATGCACCTTATGAATAAAGACATACATATACTGAAAGTGAAGGGCTGGAAAAAGGTATTCCATGAAAACAAAAGAGTACGTGTACCGTGTATAATAAACAAATCAAGATATTAACATATTTAACACTGTCAACATTTAATTTTATATTATGTTGTGAACATTCAGAACTCACTCCCCTGGTTATTGTGAAAGTATGTACTGAATTGTCTAGCAAAAATTTTTTTAAATGAACATGTCCAGGATGAACCAGTTCATGGCAGAGCCTGGGGAGGACGCTTCTACGTCAGATCTGGCCACTCCGCAGGACTCTGAGGAGAGCTCACACCAGGTCGACGCTGTCTGTCACCATGGGCAAAGGAGACCCCCTTGTATGCCTTCTTCGTGCAGACCTGCCGGGAAAAGCACAAGAAGAAACACCTGAACTCTGTTCAATTTCGCCGAAGTTGCCAAGAAATGTTCAGAGATAGAAGACTATGTCTGCAAAGGAAAAGTCGAAGTTTGAAGATAAAGCAAAAAGTGACAAAGCTCTTTATGACAGGGAGAGTAATAATTACATTCTTCCCAAAGTGGATAAGAAGGGAAACAAAAAGGATCCTAATGCTCCCCAAAGTCTGCCATCTGCCTTCTTCCTGTTTTGCTCTAGGTATCGCCCAAAGATCAAAAGTGAATACCCAGGCCTACCCACTGGGGATACTGCAAAAAAATAAAAAGAGTGAAATGTGGTCTGAACAGTCAGAAAAAGATAACTATATGAACAGAAAGTGGCTAAACTAAAGGAGAAAAATGAAAAGGATATTGCTGCATACCTTGCCAAGGACAAATGTGAAGCAGGAAAGAAGGGCCCCGGCAGGCCAACAGGCTCAAAGAAGAAGAATGAACCAGAGAGGAAGAGGAGGGGGAGGAAGAATTGGCTGTCCTGTAATGATGTGTCTGGAACGCATGTGTGTGCTCAGGCAATTGTTTTGCTAAGAATGTGAATTCAAGTGCAGCTCAATGTTTGCTTCAGTATAAAAACTATACAGATTGCTGTATAGCTGATAAGATTTCTTTGTAAAGAAAATACTTAAAGAATGCAGGTTGTAGCTTTTTGAGGGGCTATTACATAGTTAGATTTTCTAGCTTCTGATGTTGAATGTTCCTTAACATTTAATGGTTTCATTTCTTGACTTGTGTTGGTAGCATAGCACACTTATAGGAATTGGTATCAATAGTAAATTTTGGGGTTTTTAGGATGGTGCATTTTGTGTTCTTTTTATTTTTCAATTTTGTAATGAAATTATGTATTTTAAGAAAAAAAAATGAACATGTCCATTGCTCGAGCCATGATAGGATGTTTTGAGAAAGCCAACTAGATTGTCCCTCTGTAGACTGTGAAATATTAACTGACCTTAGGATAACAGCACCCCTATGATCATTCCCCATGTTCTTACAGGCACAGCTTCCAATGCTCTAAGACAGCCCTACATTTGGCTGACCATCATTCTGACTGTCGCCATGTGCTTACTGCCTGTCGTTGCCATACGGTTCTTGTCCATGACCATCTGGCCATCAGAAAGCGATAAGGTATGTAAGACACATTTCTCTTCCAACCCTCAGTGTCCCTCAAAGCAATCAGCGCACTGCCCATAAATAGTACCTTCCCAGGGCCTGCAGGTAGTGTAATAGTTTAAGGGTACTGGATTCCCACACAGCCAACCGTGGTTCGAATCCCAGACGTGGTGGTTTGCTTTCTCACTTTCCTCTCTCTCTCTCTCTCTCTCTCTCACTCTCTCATTCTCTCTCTCTCTCTCTCTCTCTGGTCAAATTAAAATAAATTAATAAAGACAAATAAAATAATTCCTTTTAAAAAAAATAGTACCTTTCCTGCAAATTTCTTAGTTCATGGGACATTTGGAAAGAATATTTTTTGGGACCAGCACGTGGCATGGTGGTTAAGGGCACTGGACTACCGTATAGCTGACTGCCATTCGAGTTCTGGACTTGGCGCTTGCTTTCTCACTTTCCTTTTTTCTCTCTCTTTATCCCTTTCTGGTCAAATTTAAATAAATATAAATAAAATAAGTATTTTTAAAAAGAAAGATAGAAAAGAACCCTTCTGCTGTCTTTACGTTTAATCTTCATCTTGAAGCTGGAAAGTGGCTACCACAGGGCAGGCATCTCATCCTGACGTCTCAGTGTATAGGGAAATGACAAGAGACAGCTTCGGAGCTTTCCCTTAGGAACCCTGGAACTTCTCTCAGGGGCACAACACGTCCCTGAGGGCTCATCTGCCTGGACTAACCTGGCAAGGGACATCCATAAAGTCCTGTGGGTAATGTGGGCGTGGAGGAGAGGGGTACAAATTTGGACAAGTGGAATTTTCGTTAGAAAGAAGGAGACGCTCAGTAGACAACCTTCGGGGTGCCCCAGACCTCTCTGTCGCAGGGACAGAAGCTGTGGTAGCATCCAGGGAGAGACGCAGTTTTCTCTTGCACCTGTACTAGTCTGATCTGTGACCTGGAAGGAGCAACCTGCTAGGAGTGAGAATCCTGGCTTGCCATTTTCTTTTTTTTTCTTAATTTTTAGCTTGCCATTTTCTAGTTGCACGACTTTATAAAAGTGACATACCCACCCCCCTTCTATAAAGAGGGGGGACAGGGATGCCTGCGAGACTAGTGACAAGCCTGGTGTGGGTGCCCACCCGGAGTCAGCTTCCGTTCACCTCCTTCGGGCCCGGCTTCCACCTCGATGCAGACCTTGCCCTAGCTTCTCCCTTTACTCCTTTTATAGATCCAGAAGCATCGCAAACTGCTAAAGGCGGAAGAGCAGTGGCAGCGGAGGCAGAAGGGGTTCCGCCGGGGCGTGTCGTCCCGGCGCTCTGCCTACGCCTTCTCGCACCAGCGCGGCTACGCGGACCTCATCTCCTCCGGACGCAGCATCCGCAAGAAGCGCTCGCCCCTGGATGCGATTGTCGCGGACGGAACTGCGGAGTACCGGCGGACAGTGGAGAGCTGAAGCCCGGACTCCTGAGGGCCAGAGGGCATGGCTGTGCAGAGGACAGGACTAATTTCTTTTTCTTTCTTTTTTTTTTTTTTACGAAAGACTCTCAGGACTTTTCTTTTTTAATTTGGTAATTGGATTTGTCCCAAAATACCCCAGAAGATAGTAACCTGTAAGTCATACTCCTTGGGTTGAGCTGTTGAGCAAAGCCAAGGATGCCTTTTAAAAACTCCTGTTCCACGGACTACGTTCATTATGATTCAAAGGGAACATTTTAATCCAGTCTCAGTCCGGGACAGTAGAATTAGAAAGTGGCTATTTTAGTTCAAATGTTATTGCCTTATAAAATTATGGTAAAAAAAAAATGTCTTGTCTGTGAACTTCAGCATGAATTTCCCAGAGACGACTTCTTTTACCTACGGGCCCCCTGGTCACAAAGATTTATTTTTAATTTATTTATAAAGGTAATGATGAAAGATTCATGAATGTTAATCACTTGGAAATTAAGTGGTCCAATGACGTTTTCAAAGTTTGTAATAGGCCGCATGGTTTCATGTTCTCTTCATATTCGTTGAATAATGCAGTTCAATCGTGGAAAATTACTTCAGATTTTGTAGGTGTAAGGTTTCAGGCCTTGTAGATCAGATTAAAGAGCACACTACATACTTTCACCATCACATTTGATTTCAACAACTTTCCATAGTACCAAGTGAATTGGGTACTCTCATTTTTTTAAAAAAAAAAGCATCTAAATATTTATGGGCTTTTAAGAAGTTTTTATAAACTGAGGACATCAGAATATTGCAAAGCTTTCTTTTGAAAAGCAAACTTTTGTGCCTGCCTATATGTAAAGTATTTTATAAGGGACTTGAACAGAGACCTCACTCTTTGTCACTTGTCTTATGTCTTGAGAGAAAAGGCTGTTAGTAGCTACACTTGTGAGACTGAGAAACACTTTGTCCTTGTTTTTCTTTTTTCGTTTTGTTTTGTTTTGTTTTTAGATTTTTGCCATAGGGTGCATGTGCTCACAAGAGACAGACAGTGGTGACAGGGAAAGTAAGAAATCGCCCTGCAAGGGATTGGCCACACCACAATCCCTTATCCTTTCTGAATTTTGAGCGCACACACATGCACCTGGCATGATTTCCAAGCCGCTGGGTCTGGGTGTCAAACTGGTTGACCATGTAGAAGTCTAACACCTTAACTACCATACCATCTCCTGGCTCCCTTTTTTCCTTTTTAAAAGTCTTTACTCATGATGGAACACGAGGGCATACATGTGAGAGAAAGAGGGAGTGAAAGAGACCCAGAGATATGGCCACCCTTTACTGGGTCCAGACATGCCACAATCTCCTTTTAAGTTTAACTTTAGTTAATTATGGAAACCATCCTTAATGAGGCAAAAATGATCTTTTTCAGGGGCTTTTTCAGCGTGAGCTCTTTTCTAGTGTGTTGCTCACACATTAGTTTCCTTATTCTAGTTCAGTTGTAGAAATGTTTTCACTAATTTTTTTTATACTATCTGTCCCTTTGAGTTCTTATGACGAAATCACGTGTATATAGTTCATGTTTGGATCAGTTGAGCAATTTGTTTGTCAGTTGTCTCCAATTGGTGAATTCATCCCTGGCTATTTGTATGAAACTAAAAGCTTAAGTTAAAACATCACATTAGTTAACAGAAAATTGCTCTTTTATATGCAGTAAATTATTGATACATGTAATAAACGGAAACATCATATTAGTCAACAGGACATTTTTCTACTATATTCAGTAAAAGGGAATTAAAAGCATTATTTCCAAATTGTTCAAGCCATATAAATTCAGCCAAACATGAGTCCAACATATCAAGACAAACTCTTCTTATGATCTTACACTTTGCTTTACATTTGTTCTGATAGGACTTGGTCTTTTGGGTGTGGCTCCAAGAGATTACACAGAACAGAAGTTGGGGTCACTATGGTTAAAACTGAATGTGTTAGAAACCAGGAAGAAGCTGAATGTTTTTATACCCAGCCCATGAGTCAGAGGACAAGGGAGAAAAAGGCTGATCTATGCATTGCAAAATAGGCAGCAAGGTTTGGGTGTAATGATCACCAACAGTTTCCAAATAACCAATAGCTGACTGATGGATATATATCTATGATACCAAAACCCCATATTTCCCTCTCTGGAGCATGGAAGTGATGACCTGAGTCAAATACAGTTCAAAGTAATGCTTTCATACTTCAGACAGAACTTACACATATTGGCCCACAGTATAGGCAGAAACCAGTGATAGCAGTAACTGCTTTCTCTGTGACTTCTGTAGACCATCAGAATAGAAGATGAAGCCACATTTTCAAAGTAATTTTAATTTTCATGAAAAAAATTTTCCCCTTAAGGAAGGGAACAAATTGTTCAATTGATCCTCCTCAATTTTTAGGAATGACAAAAGAATGTATGGCTCTTTTATGGAAGTAAGTTTCTAAAAGTTTACAATTTTATCTTGTAAATAAAAAGAATTGTAAGTTTCTTGTCTTTTTTTTTACAGAAATATTAGCCTGTGTAATTCTATCCATTTCAGATTTCTATCTTGTTTTTTGAATTGTGGGAAAAGTTGACAATGCAAATGTGTCAAAGACTTATATTGTTGGGTGCAATATTAACAATTTAAAAATGCAAATTGCTTTGGATAAATTATTTCTATATTCTGTAAATCTGAGATTGAATGTATATTTTTGTTTAAAAAAATAAATGCTTTAGTACAAATCTTTGTTAAAGTATAATCTTTTACAATATCTTCTCTGTTTTAGTTTTTGCTAAAAGGCAGTCACACTGACTAGAGAAAGAGATAGGGAAAGTGAGAAATCACCCCCCAGGAGGGATGGCCACACTGCAATCCACTATCTTCCCATCTCCTCTCAGGATTTTGGGTACATATGTACATACACCCAGTTGTGGGTCTGGGACTTGAACTGCACAGTCAGACACCTTAAGCTCCATGCCACCTTCTGGCCCTACAGTAACTTTTAAGTTGTTTTTTTACTTTGTTTGCTTTTTTTTTTTTTTTTTTCAGAGATTCTTTTGCTATAGAGCACATGCAAATCATCCCCTAGGGCAGTGGCCATGCCACAGTCCCTTCTCCTTCATTCTGTCAGGATTTGGAGCATGCATGCACATGCACCTAGTATGAGTTTCAAGCCACTGGGTCTGGGACTTGAACCACAGTCATGGAAGACCACTGACATAACTGCTACGCCATCTACTGGTCTCCGGTTGCATGTTTTTTTTAAGAGCAGAGTGTATCAGCAGGTGGCATGATGGTTAAGGGTGCTGGACTCCCATAGTTGACTGTGGTTCAAGTCCCGGACCTGGCAGTGTGCTAGACTCCCATGGTTGACTGTGGTTCGAGTCCTGGACCTGGCAGTCGAACCATGGTTGACTGTGGTTCAAGTCCCAGACCTGGCAGCTTGCTTTCTCACTTTCCCTCTCTCATTCTGTCCCTCTCTTGTCAAATTAAAAATAAATAAATGAAGTTAAATAAAATAATTTTTTGAGAGGTTTTCGCTATAGGGCGCATGCCAGCTAGCCAGAGAGAGACATAGAGACAGAAAGCGAGAAATCACCCCCCCAGGGGGATGGTCACGCCACAATCCCTTTTCCATTCTCCTCTCGGGATCTTGGGCATGCACGCACACGCGCCCAGCGTGAGTTTTAAGCCACTGGGTCCGGGACGCGAACCATGGTTGACTACATGGGAGTCCAGCGACATAGCCATTACGCTAACTGCTGGTTCCCAATAAAATAATTATTTTTAAAAAAGGGTGAGTGACAAGAATCTACTCTGGCAAGTTTTTTTTTTTTTTTTTGATAAATTCATTGTATTATCAAGCTTCTTTGAGATTATTTACAAAAAGTGGGATGTAACAAAAAATATAAAAGTATACTAAGTGGTATCATTGTAGCCTACTTTGTACATTTTAAAATATATTTTTAATAATACATTCAATCACTATATCATTACAGCATGCAAAATAAATTTTCTCAGCATGGATACACTGTATTAATCTAAAGATATTATCATACATGTTGTCAACAGATAATTTTCTGTTTTTGTGACCCTTGAAAGTATATTACATTCTTTTTTAAAATTTTTTTTTAAGAATTATTTTACTTATTCATTTTAATTTGACCAGAGACACTCAGAAATAGAGAGGAGAGAGAAAGCATGCCACCAGGTCCAAGACTTGAACCATTGTCAGCCATGTGGGAGTATCCAACATCTTAACCACCACGCCACCCGCTGGTCCCAGTATATTACATGTTTCTAGAAGACAGTTATTTTTTAAAAATTTATTTAACTTTAATCTGACCAGAGAGGGATGGGGATGGGGGAGGGGTAGAGTGAGAAAGCAAGCTGCAGATCTGGGACTTGAAGTATATTCACATGTTGGCCATGTGGGAGTCCAGTGCCCTTAACTACCATGCTACTTGTCAGCCCCAAGAGTTACTTTTTTTCTTTTTGTTTTTTAAAGAATTATCTTATTTAACTTTATTTTAATTTGACCAGAGAGGGACAGAATGAGAGAGAGAAAGTGAGAAAGCAAGCTGACAGGTCAGGGACTTGAACTGCAGTCAGCCATGTGGGAGTCCAACACCCTTAACAACCACACCACCTGCTGGCCCTGCCAACAGTTATTTCTTATACAAACACAGCCTGACTTCAAGACAAAAGTTTCCAGCAAGTTTTCTAAAGGAACTTGGTGGTCCTGTGAAGAATTAAAAATAATTAAAGGATTGAAGAATAAAAAAATTTAAAACATTTATCCCTCAAACAACTAAAGTAGCATATCACAGGGGAAAATGGCCTTTCATTTTTTTAGGGATGGTCTCCCAAGTAGGTACAGAATTTTTCTTATACTACTTCTATGGAAGAGCCCTACACGCTGCTCCATTTTCTCCACTTCAAGCTCCCTCAGATGATACTCTAATCACTTGCTGCTAACTACATTTCCCAGAGATTCTCTCAAAGAATCCCCTTCTTAGAGGCCTAAACACACTTTTCTAGTGAGTCACAGCTGCCCCTGCACCCAAGAACTAGGGACAAAGCGACTGAACATATTTTTGGGGCTGTAGATTAGAAAATAAACAAAAATAAACACACAAAAACATACAAGTAAGGGAAAGTGGGGATCAGGTGATCACAACTGATGGAGATAGCCATGGCCCCAAACTGGTCCCAGGTTTATTCTTTTAAAGGGTAGAAAATAGGGAAAAGGGAAGTAGAATACAAAACCAGTTGTTTTCGAGTGTTAATTGGCTGAAGATGGGAGAAGACATCTGATACCATGTAGTTCTATGGAAGTTTTTTCTAATTTTGTGGGCAAATTCTGATTAAAAACATGTGACTTCCTCTAGACCAATACTGCTCTGCAATTTGGATAACAACAGGCAGCAAGTATATTCACATGTTAATTCTGTTCATTACCTTCCAAAGGACTGCTAGTGGAACTGCCTTTCTGCACTTGTCTAAAGGTCACCATGTTTGCTTAGACTGGCCACAAAGGACTGAATGTTAGAAGAAATCTGATGGAAGAAAGAGACAGGTATAGATTTATGGTTTCTAAGATCA